CAACCACAATGTTCAAGTACTTCGCTGCGACTGCTGCCCTCATTGCGACCGCTTCGGCCGCGTCCCTGCCCGACGGCTCGTGGCCCTCCAGCAAGGGCCTCGTGCAGTTCGACAAGGTGTACACGGTCAAGGCTGGCGAGGTGTTTGACGGCAAGATGCAGACGTTCGAGCGCTCCAACGTCAAGTGCAACGGCCAGTCCGAGAGCAAGTGGGACACCGCTGTGTTCTTCGTGGAGGCCGGCGGTCACCTCAAGAACGTCATCATCGGCAAGAACCAAATGGAGGGCGTCCACTGCGACCAGCAAGACTGCACCATCGAGAACGTGTGGTGGGACGACGTGTGCGAGGACGCGCTCAGCATCAAGGGCGGCTCGGCCTCGAGTGTGTCCAAGGTCATTGGTGGCGGCGCTCGCTACGCCGACGACAAGGTCATCCAGCACAACGGCCTGGGCAAGGTCATCATCGATGGCTTCTACGGCGAGGATGTCAGCAAGCTCTACCGTTCGTGCGGCACTTGCGGCCCCAAGGTGCGCGAGGTGTCCGTGTCGAACGTGCTCGTGGTGAACCCGACCAACGCCGTGGTGACGGTCAACAAGAACTGGGGCGACAAGGCCACGCTCAGCAACATTTGGGTCAAGTCGAGCAAGGCCGCCGTCAAGGTGTGCCAGTGGTCGCAGGGCAACCCCAAGGGCGAGCCTAGCATTATCGGAAACGGTCCTTCCGGTACGCTGTGCCAGTACTCGACCAGCGACGTCCACATCAACCAGGACATGAAGCAGGCCAAGCAGGGCTCGCCCGAGCAGTCGTCCCCCAACCCGGACGACGAGTACACCGCCCAGAGCGATATCACGCCCGCCCCCAAGACGAAGAAGCCCAAGGCTTCGACCCCTACGGTGACGACCGCCCCTCTGAAGAAGACGAAGGCCCCGAAGACCACGACGCCCGTTACTACTGCCCCGTTGAAGAAAACCAAGGCTCCCAAGACGACCGCCCCTCTCAAGAAGACGAAGGCTCCCAGCCCGAAGCAGCAGGACGAAGACGAGGAGCAGCAGGACTTCGTGCAGCAGGACCAGGTTGACCAGGATCTCCTCGGTTAAAGGGGTTAAGCATTTACAGGGGCAGAACTTTCTACAGCAACACACGTTGACGACTTACACTGCGATACTGGGTGCACAAGCTAGCCGCCTTTTTGAGTAGTGTACAAGTAGCGTTAAAATAATTGATGGTGCGTTTGATAGAGTAACTTTGGTGGAACGCGTTCGATTGTCCTCCAACGCGATGGACCTTACTGCAGGTCATTGGTGTACCAGAAATCCACGCCCTCGCGGAGGAAGCCGCCATGGCGGTCTTTGAAACGAAATCCTACATGCAACTGAGGAAAACGGTATTGATAAACCCTGCTGAGCAGTTTCCAGGCAACTGTACTGTATCAGGATGCAATAGCGGCAAGTATCGTACACCTTGTAATCAGCAACACTGTTTGAATTTGAACTAATACTTGAAAATGCTTCAGTACTTCTCGAAATTGTAAACACTAGTGTTGCTCATTGCAGTGGTTCGTACAAATACCCTGCCCCGTCAACACTGGAACGCCAACGGAACTGCCTGCAGAAACGCAGGGATCTAAACATCCCTATCAAAACACCTCAAGCCGCACGGTAAGGTAAAACCATCAGCTGGAATCGAGCACTGCGCGTACGGACGCTCAAACGGCCAAGTCATTGAGCTCTCTCAGCCCGTCCAGGCAGCAGAGGCGGACGGTCGTTCGCACACGTACATGTACATGTGCATGTGCATGTAGAGGCTTAGCAGGAAGAGGTCAGCTTACCGCTGTGATAGCACGAACCAAAACGAGGCTCCGTTGGTCCAGCTTTAACACCCAGTGCCACTGCCGGCCACGACCTCGTGGCCTTGTGGTGTCCGAGAAGCAAACGTACGTAGGAACAACCATGTTGATTAACGCGACTAACGAAGCCAGCTGGTTCAGATCATCAAGGAAAAGGATTGACGTAGTGGCAACAAGATTCGTCTTGTTTCCTTATACAAAAGCCGAACGCGTGCAAGTGCCCCCTCAATATTGGTGCTTGGCCCGCTTGAGCGTACTAATGATTATCAAGCCTTCCATTTCCTGAAGCGGGCACCCCGTGTGACCCCAGCAGGACGCCACACAACACTTGAATGGACATGCATGAACACCACCACGAGGCCGCACAAGTCGCTGTTGTCGCTGCGCCGCAATCTCGTTCGAGAGCATCTGTTTCCGGTAGTCGACGTTTAATCAGCAGTGCCGTGCGTGCTCTAGGATACTGTAGAGCAGGTAACACGCCCAGGGACGACAGCTCGAGTCCAGCTCGAGTCGGTCCAACCGACCTTGCTGCGCTTCAAACGTGGCGCTATGGAGGGCTGGGGGTCGCACGCAGCGCACATCGCCAATGCTTTCTCTCTGCAACAACAGTTTGGTCGGAACCAAAATCAGCGATTACCCGGGATCTGAAGACACGATACACCTGTACGGCTGTTCAAGGCGCCTGGCCGCACTTGATCCAGAGCGAACTTACAGAAGCTGGGTCTGAGGCGAGGACACATCGTGGCTCCGGCGCCAGCTGCTGGCTGTCAACCAGCCTGGTACAGTACATGAAGCGCACATGTTTCCTGGTGCCTGTGTGCAATGCACCAGCTTGCTGCTGCTGCTGTTTGCAACCAACAAGAGTTTGGAGTTGCCACCTATGTGCCGCTTGGGTCCTAAAGTGTAAAGTGTACTGTTGCTCGTACAGTCGGAAAAAGTGGTCGCACCGCTCCCGTGGTTACGGATAGCCGAAAGTGTCAACTTGTCAACACGCCATCATTGCGTTGGCTCGCACTCAATCAAGTTGACAGGCATGATCCATCGTCACCGATTTGACGCGCGATCGAGAAAAGCTGAGTGGGTCAAGCGTGACCCACAGCCGCACCCCACGCAGCAGCATGGCTGCGAGAAAACACCTGGTGCTCCAGCTCATGATGGTCGCACCGCGAGAGTCTCATCACGTTCGTTGATCGGCCCTACCTCACGCACGACCCGCATCGCCCCGACCACTCCTCATTAATCAACTCGCCAGCAAGCGAGCATCCGACCAGTACAACACACACACTCCCTTTCATTGCTGCCATCCACGATGTTCAAGTTCTTCGCTGCGACTGCTGCTCTCATTGCGACCGCCTCCGCTGCTTCCCTGCCGGACGGTACGTGGCCTGCCAGCAAGGGCCTCGTGCAGTTCTCGGAGGTGCGCACCATCAAGGCGGGTGAGGTGTTTGACGGCAAGATGCAGACGTTCGAGCGCTCCAACGTCAAGTGCGACGGCCAGTCCGAGAGCAGCTGGAGGACGGGCGTCTTCTTCGTGGAGGCCGGCGGTCACCTCAAGAACGTCATCATCGGCAAGAACCAAATGGAGGGCGTCCACTGCGACCAGCAAGACTGCATCATCGAGAACGTGTGGTGGGACGACGTGTGCGAGGACGCGCTCAGCATCAAGGGCGGCTCGGCCTCGAGCGTGACGAAGGTCATCGGTGGTGGCGCTCGGTACGCCGACGACAAGGTCATCCAGCAAAACGGCCTGGGCAAGGTCATCATCGACGGCTTCTACGGCGAGGACGTCAGCAAGCTCTACCGTTCGTGCGGCACTTGCGGCCCCAAGGCGCGCGAGGTGTCCGTGTCCAACACGTACGTCGTGAACCCGGGCAACGCCGTGGTGACGGTCAACAAGAACTGGGGCGACAAGGCCACGCTCAGCAACGTCTGGGTCAAGTCGAGCAAGGCCACTGTCAAGGTGTGCCAGTGGTCGCAGGGCAACGCCAAGGGCGAGCCTAGCATCCTCGGCCACGGTCCTTCCGGCACGCTGTGCCAGTACTCGACCAGCGACGTCCACATCAACGAGGACATCAACCAGGCCGAGCAGTCCTCACCGGAGCAGTCCTCGCCGGAGCAGAACGACGCGTCGCAGTCGGCCGTGCAGCAGTCGAGCGTTGCCTCCAGTGGTGCCGATGGTAACACCACGACTCCTATCGTTCAGGTCGAAGTAACGGTGGCCCCTACTACTGCGCCCCTGAAGAAGACGAAGGCCCCTAAGACCAAGACGCCTGCCACCGCGACCCCTACCGTGACGCCCAAGACGAAGGCCCCGAAGACGAAGACGCCCACCACTACGGCGCCCAAGGCCACGAAGGCCCCCAAGGCCACGAAGGCTCCCAAGGCGACGAAGGCTCCTAGCCCCGAACAGCAGGACGATCAGCAGAGCGTTGAGCAGCAGAGCGTTGAGCAGCAGAGCGTTGAGCAGCAAGACGTGGAGCAGCAGAACTAATTTGAGCGCTTGCACATTACTCGGACTGGGGTTTCCGTCCGCTGTCAGCGAGGAGTGAACTCGCTGACAACTCACACTGTGTGAGCGCGAGTGCGTAGGCTAGATGTATCTTGTTGGGGCGTACAAGTAGAGTTAACGTAATTGATGGATGGTTTGATAGTACTTCATTCGTTTTTCCCTGTTTAGTTTTACCAATCGGTACTTGTTGGAGAGCCGATACTTATTCGAATACGAGTATTGATGAATTTGCTACCATGACGAGTTAGTTGGTCCAGCATTGAGCTAAGCTCTTACGAATGTGAGGAATGACTAGAGTAGAGTCATATAGGAACTCGAGCACCTTCCAAGTGCATAGCTGTGTGGTCGAGGACCACGATAGACTTAGTTTCATTTCGTTTTTCGTTTTCACGTTGGAGCATTGTGCCTTTCAGAAACTTTAGCCATCTGACCTACAAAAGGTGGTCTTTTTAGAAACTTTGGCCAATCTGACCTAAAAAAGGTGGTCTTAAGAAGGAGCGGGTAGGGTTAAACCGATTTCCTTCTCAATCACCTGTGTAACGACATAGGGGCAAATCTTCTGCTCTATTAGTGATGGCCTTGATCCGGCTGCAGCTTCGTCCGAGTTGGATGTTAGCTGATCCCCCATGTGGCGGTGAGGGGCCATTACTGCAGAGTTGTTGAAGATTTCACCCCGCTGACCATCCTCGCCGCGATTGCGGAGACCGATTCCGTGCACAGGCGCGTGTAGATCTTGAACGTGTCCGACGCCCACCGACCATGGAATTGGATGGTCAACGCGTCGACGCCCGACCGGTACATGTTTGTTGCGCCCCCGGACCGGAGGGAGTGTGTGCTGTAGGCCTTAGGATCGCCTCCCGAGAGTATCGCTGCTTCTTGGATTTTGTTGGCCACGCGACGGGCTGATACGGACTCGATCGCCCCGATCTCCGATCTATAGGTTGCCGCCGGCAAGTCCATCGGGAGATTCTGCCGTGCCCGGAGCAGTAGGATAGCTCCCAGAACAGGACACAGGAACCGATGACCGGAACGACGGAGCATGCGGGCGGTCGTGAGGCCGCTCTGGTTTGTCTTGGATCCTCTTAGGCGGATGTGCACGGTGGTTGCCGCTGCAGCATCCATGGTTGCTCGCTCATTTTGGTCCATGGTTACCACATCCGTGGCTCGCAAGGCAAACCAGCGAAACTTGCCATCAGAGACTGCTGCGATCTCGGAGCGCCTGAGGAGGAAGAAGTAGGACAGGCACAGTACCCCCCAGAGCGCTTGGTCCGAGGGGAGTGCATGTTGAGTGAAGCGAAGCAGGCTTCGAGGAGACGAATCAACACGGGGGCCTTGCGACCTGGGGGCCCGTCGAGTCGGCTGATACCTTTGAGGAGCATGCGGATCTGTGGATGGTCCGATGGAAAGGAACGACCGGATGCTAGGAAGAAGTGCCGGATGCCTATCAGAGTGTTCAGGATCGACGAGCTCCGAATAGGCCTTCCGGATCAATATCCGTGTTGGAAGCCGAGGGGAACGCAGTCAGATAGGTGTTGGAGGGGGGTAGCGAGTGGCACCCCGCCCAACCAGACGTTCACCCCTTTTCTGGAGAGGAATGCTTGCCACGCGTGGAGTGCGTGTTCGTACTTGGAGTATGATGAGTTCGGCACTGAGTGTTCGCGCAGATAGCGTGCCAGATTTGTTCCAGACGATTGGTGTCCAGTTGGGGTCGCACCTGTGACCAAGAACCGGCTAGGTTAGTAAACGTTGCTAAGGCATGGGGATCCTTCGAAAGGCGAGAACCGGCATCCGCGATGACATTATCCACGCCGGCAATATGCGAAGCAGAGAATCTTAGTCCGTGCGTCATCTCCCAGTAGCCTAGCAGTCTGATGACGGTTTGTGCTCGAGTATTCTTCGAAGCCATTTTGGTTTGCCAAGCCACGGCAGATGTGTTGTCTACCCGAAAGTGCAGGTGAATTGGGGTGTTGTGAGGGCGGGACCCACACTCGGACGACCATGTGGAGGCCCACGTGTGGACAGCAAAGGCACACGAGAGCAGTTCACGGTAATTTATGTCGAAGTCGTTTCGGTGCTCGGAGTTGAAGCTAGCGATGAGAGACTGCTCGCGCTCCGAAAATTCGTAGATAAGAATGCGTTGGTTGTTTCGGTCTAATGCGCACAACCCGGTGTCCGTTGCATCCATCTCGATTGTGATGTCTGCCGCAGGCTGGGAGCGGAAATACTCCAACGGTACACCGATGAGAAGAGGTGAAGTCAGGATGTGCCGCCACCAAATGAGGTCCTGACGCATTTCATCGGTCACTGAGACCGACGACCACCTGTGGAGAGATGTTTCGGCTCGTCGGAGCCGTTGGAGAAAGGGTCGGCCTGGCCTGACGCATGTGGCAACAAGTCGGAGGCTCCCTAGGAGAGAACGGTACTGTGTTCTACTCAGTTTAGTCGCGTGATACGCTTTGTTGACCAGAGCTGACGCTTTGAGTATTTTGGAGGGCGGTATAGCCACGGTCAAGCTGACGGTATCAAAGAGTAGACCCAGCACCTTTTGGCGCGTAATCCAGGTGGTAAATTTGTCATTGTTGACTGCGCTGGGGCCTAGTACCGTTGTCATAGCTGAGCGCAAGGACTGTTCGACATCGGTACAGCTGGTCCCTATGTCGGCCGATATGCAAACATGGTCATCCACCCAGCGGTAGTTGAAAAGGCCATGACGATAGATGGTATGGTGGAGCAGCTGCCAGAAAAAACCGATCGAGCCTGGATCCAGATCGAGCTTGGATCGGATCGGGATCGAGCCTGGATCGGATCAAGGTTCGGTACAGCGGACTACCAGGGCACAAATGCGGCGTCGGCGTGTTCGTAGGTCGACGTCGCGTTTTGCCCGGAACTTCACTATCGTAATTCCGAAGTAGACACACACAGTAAGCAGGAGCAAACAGTGAGTCTTGTTAATCTTGGCCTTGAGGGCTTAGCTGCCTGGCGTCTCACGCTACCCGTCGTAGTTGTTAGCTTGCGCGGGGATGGGCTTCTCACGCTGCCGGTCGTATTCTTCTTCTTCTCTTTTTTCTTCCTGGCCGTGCGTGACCCTATCGCTTGTCGTCGCACGCCTCGTCTTCTTCCGTCGATCGCTGGGCCCTGTAGCTTGCCTTGTGACGACGCGACTCGGTTCATAGTGCCGTCCTCTTCGACACTCTGAGTTGGGTTGAGCTCGCGGACCGTGAACTGCAGCGCCTCGTATCACCAGGTGTGGTCGAGGTCGGTTCTTCTACAGCTGCGGGGCCTTGCGTACAATACGACGATATCGACTCGTGTTCCTGGAGCTGGTCGCTTGATGTAAGTCTCTACTCGAAGACCCGCAGGCTGAGTGTAAAATACGAACTCTGTATTTGGGCGCAAATTGCAAACTAAACGCTATGTCCTACCCTAGCTGTTCGCCACGTGTCTGTCTCGCAGCCGCTTTTCCCTTGCTGTCCTCGTAGTCACATCCTGGTCTGCATCTTACAACCAGTCAACCTGTATCGTAATCACGTACCGCAACCACACAACATCGATTGGCAGATCTCGATCTCGATCTGTCAATCAGCTCTCGATCCAGCTTCTCGATCTCGATCCGTCGATCCCGATCCAAATTAGACTCTCCACCTTGCTTCACGATCCATATTCTCCATCGATCTAGCCAATCCGTGTCCTCGGTAACTCGATCCGCTTTCCGCCTTGCTCATGTTGACTCTTGTGGTAATTCGGTAGTGTCAGATGGCTCCGCCGAGCTTCCCACCCCTCTTCGATTGGCTTGTACTCTAATTCAACTGATCGCATCGCTTAACATCAAGAAATCGTAGTGACTCTACCGCAATGGCGTTGGTGGTTCGACCGTGAATCAAGGCGATCGCATCACCCGCTACTCCGTAGAAGCCTGGGGACCCGGTCCAGCCGAAGCAAGTGGACAAATCGATAATGAGGGCGTTGTCTTCTGGTATTGTACCTGCGAACATGTGGGCAGATTCGCTGTGAATGCTGAGGTTTCTGAAGGCGAATGCAACGTCACCCAGAATAATTTTGATTTCGCGTCCTGGAAATCGGGCCGATTGCGCCAGTATCGCGCGAGCAACGGCATCACAATGTTCATATTCTGCGGCTGGTACTGAGTCGCGGTCCGTATGATCGTTTATCGACGCCTGTTCGGGGAAAGATAGGTCATGTATGACTCGGCCGGAGGTAGTAGGGTCTTCCTCGCCTTTGTCAATGACCCCGAACGGACTGAGGAAGAGCTCCGGCCAGTACTGGGCAACGTCGAGGTCGACCACGATGCATCGGCCGAGTTCTTGTTCTTTTCGGATATTTTTGCGCAGGACATTGAGCCGATTGCGACCCAAAGGGTGGTTAGGAGGGGAGAGGTTTGAGTTGGAAGTGGCTTCGTCAGAGAGACGCGGATTCCTTCGTTTGCAATAGACAGAAGGGCGGGTAGTTCGGAGTATCCCTTGCACGCGCTTTTAATTTGGGGTGAGAGGATTTGCTTATTAGGGCGGTAATCCGCGGTGGACTGACCCCGATGGAGATCGATGAGGGATCTCAACGGAACGTGTGTTCCGTGCACGTACTCGGACATGGCGGACTGGAGATGCTGGTTTAGAGTGTATTGTGGTTGTTGTGGGAGGCCGAAATGGGTCGGAAAGTCTCGGTTAGGAGGTGATAGACCGAAGGTCGCGAGTGCTGCCGCTAAGCCTTCGCGCCGGATGGAATCCCAGAGGTGCGCCCGTTGCCGACCGAGTTGCTGGGCCTGGCCCACTGCTGCCGCGGACGGTGGCGGTCGGCCCCGGAGGGGTGTGGATGAGGGCAGACCTGCCACCCTGAGGTTGATGCGGGTGGTTGCGGGCGAGGTGTCTGTTGGAGATGCGCTCGCTGTAGTAGAGCTGGGCTGTACCACGCACTCGGTGAGGCTCGAAGATTCCCCAGTAGCAGGGCGAGATGGATGCGTGTGGAGGGGGGGGGCGAGGTATAGGCTGGGGTCGCAACCCGGTTTGTGCGGGTATGTGTGTCTGTTCGAGACGGTACATGAATATCGTCTGACTCAGAGGACCGTGATGAGGTCGGAAGAAGAACCACCTCGGTGGATGGTGTGGAGAGACAAGCAACGGGGGTCAGCCCCGCCATGACGGTTTATTTAGTGGAACGCGCTGTGGTCTCCTCGTATTGGAGCCGCACAGGCGGAAACAAGGGCTCTGTAGATTTGGTAGAGATTAACGCAACGGTGGTATTGTGTGCATTATTCTGGGTGAGTACCTGGGTCCGAAGCGCTGGTGAGCCAGCCGCGCCTCGGCCTCTTCAGCTGCGGCGAGGCCCGTTGTGGCCACGGCGACTTGAGCCGTACTGTCGGTTAATGTAGGCTTGTAGGTCCCGGTGCAGCGGGGCATCCCACTGGTGGGTTCGGTGCGAGTATGCGCATCGCTCACGCGAACCCCCGAAGCACATGCCTCCACCGAAGAAACGGAGACATGGTTCGGTTCCGTCTGAGCGCCGAGGTACCAGCTGGCCGACGTGCTCGGGCATCCCAGTGGTCCGGGCTGATGGCGGGCGGCGGTTTGGTCCGGCCACCGCTGAGAGTTGTGCTGGCGTGCGTTCGTTGCGGGGCGCTGGGAGGCTTTGCGGGGCAAGCAACCATCCGAGGGACCGGTATTCGATCGCTTCGACAGCGGCACAGAAGTCACGCCGCCAAGAAGGGGAATCGTCCGCCAGGTGGGCCCTTGTACAGGTTAGCGGACTGCAACGTGCGAGTTACGCGCAGCGGATTGTTGCTAGGATCGGCGATTTGGTTATCAGACACGAACCGCCAGATTTTGCCCACCAGCCGGATCCTGTGCAGGTACCAGAAAATGTTGGCGAAAGCGGTGAGCCCGCTAAGTGCCAGGAATATGCCGTCGTAGCTCGCGCACGTGGCCGGGGCCTGCGGAGGTTGCGCGCTGGAGCTGAAGTCAGTTGAGAAGTTCGCGTTGTTCGAACTGCGTGTCAAACGTTCATCATCAGAGAGGGGTCGAAAGCTGGAGAGACAGGTCTTGGGACCAAGTCAAAGGCTGTATAGTCCATGCGCGGTCGGGATCGTCATGTCGAACGGGATGTCCAGTGCTACGCGATAGCTAATCATCGTGTCGGTTGGTAGAGTGAACATACCATCTGATCTACTAAGGCTTGCGATACTGCGGTAGGCGGGAAGAATGTGAGTCGGATGGGATGCGTAGTCGCCTCAGTTCCGGTGCACCGTCGACGGAAAACTCGATATTCGAAGCTCCCGCAAGTGGGCGGGGGGCAGGGGGTAGTTGCCGTCGGCCGCAAGCGTCCATGGCGCCGGTGTCGTGGCGGCAGCAATGAGAGGTTGAGTTACAGGGCGCACCGGCTGGACTACCGATGTTGATGCTGGAGCCGTTGCCGCCGCCAGCTGGATCCGCAAATCCATGACCATAGCGCTCAGGGAGCCGAACTGGACCGCGAGGTCGGCTACCGTACCGCCAATCGCAGGTGAGGCTTGCGGGCGGCATGCCTCAGGAAGCAATCGCGTGTTCCCGCTGGTATTGCCTGCGGTGAGCGTCGAGTTCGTCCCGAGAAAGGATGCTAGGTCGAAGGTATCATCAGTGTAGTGGTCGGATTGTTGAAGCAGTTGACTGCCCGGTGACATCGGCAAGGATGGGCTGCGTGCAGCAGGGGCAGTATGCGGAGGGCTGTCCAAGTAGATAATCGAGTGTCGAGGTGGCGCCACTGCGGGTGCATTATCGCGGGTAGCCTGCGTCGACGTGGACGCGCTCGAAGCGCTGGTTGAGGACACGGCGTTCTCTGTCGCTACAGCCTGGCCGGGGGTAGCTTGGTCTTGGTCCGCCGCCAGGCGAGCGAGGCGGGCCGCCGTACCAGCTTTCCGTTTGCCTAGTGCCTTCGATGCGACGGCGGGCGCTGGTGGAAGAACAGGTGGTGCCGCGAGAAGGGCCTCTAGGCTAAATGCCGAGGTCGAGGGACGGGCGAGTTTCTTTTTTGCGTTCCGCTGATCGCGCTTCAACCTCAGCCTTGCGTTTCTGGATGGGGAAACGCTAAAACGTGCCTATTTCGGCGAAGTGTTTGCAAAACATGCTGTCCACTTTAAAACATGCTTTCCGACAATCGGACGATTGGAAACGATTGGTAACGATAGGTGTTCTCCGTAATTCGACGATCTGCACGATGGCGCCTCCACCCGAGGAAGGCATGACCTTCCACGACGAGAGCGCTGCAGTGGAGGCTATTCAAGACTACGCATTGTCCATTAAGAAGCGGGTCGTCGTTGTCTTGGGCAGAGGTGGTCGGAAGCGGCTGACATGCTCGTCTAAATCGTGCCCAATGTACGTGCAGCTGTACCAGCGCAGGAACAGCAACGCTTGGTGCATCAGCTGGCTGGTTCTAGGGCACATGAACTGCACTTCGGTACGCAAGCCAACAGCTCGGCAGCTTTCGCAGCTACCTTCCTTTCGAAGCAGCGTTTTGGCCGACCCATCGGTTTCGGCCAAGGCGCTGGCAAGTCAAGTGACCAGATCATTCTTAAAAATGATAGCACGATTTATCGCGCCACTTATAAGCGCTTCGGGGGCTCACACGTTTTACGTGAGTTACCAATATATAGTGAAGTGGTGCAGGACTTCTTGTACAAATGAAGCACCAGCAAAAGTTATGCATGCAGTAGGGTGATGTTGCAGACGTCTTCATTACAGTGTATCAGTGGCAGCAAGTATTGGATGTACGACTCGCGTGTAATGTATACATACTAGCTGCCCTCATTAGGTTGATGTAGTGGTTGGGCGTCGATGGCATAAGCTTATATCAATGTATGTCCTGGGATCACCAAGGTCGTGCAGCAGTGCACCGGCGTTGGTACACTGTACCCAAGCATGTTTTAAAGTGGACAGCATGTTTTGCAAAACACTTCGCCGAAATAGGCACGTTTTAGTGTTTCCCCGTTTCTGGATGCGTCGACTACTGCGTGGGGTTGCACCTCCCGAGGCAGGGGGGCGAGAGACCGAGCTGACAGCCTGTGCCGCTACTCCAGTCTCCGTTGTTCCCGACGGTGCCGACGGCGCGGCCGGGGCCGGGCCTAGGGCTCGCTCCTTCCGGCGTAGAGGGGGGGGGCGGGGAGAGCCGTCGCCCTGGTGTTTGCAGCATTGGTCGGGGCTGCCGATCGCGACGACGGCGACAAAGGAGGCGAGGCGCGAGGCGAAGGCACTTGGCGAAGGAGGTAGGTAGGTTGCTTGGTTCTTCTGGCTTGCTTGGCATGAGGCGAGATGCCGAATGAGCTCTGCAGAATGCCGTCGAGCTGCAGCTCTTCCTACTAGGCGCGTCTTCTTGGCCTGTGCGGGGGTTTCATAACTGCTGTACGGGTTACCTAAAGGAAACAGCTAATCTTGTCTCCGCCACGATCTCACCGGATTTGCTGTTAGCCCTGCATTGGATTACGGAATTCCTACGTAATAGGAGCTCCGTCTTCATCTAAAGGGTACCTTTTTGGATATGAGGACCGAATGGCCATGTTAAGCTGGCCATTCGGGCCTTCGTGGGACTAACGATCCCTTCGTAGGACTAGATCACGTCAGTGTGCCTGACAGCATCTGTGACTCGTACAGGCGGAGACTCAGGCAGCACCGCAGCTAGGTCACCGTGCTCAGCGTGGAGCTACATACGTGCGCTACAGGTATAGCGGTACTGAACGCGCTCACTTGTCGGCCTACCTTTGCAAGCCATTCGCTCAGTTTACATTCCGTTTTGGCTTATGCATGGTTTTACTGGCCCTAGTACTAACTTTTATGAGGTCTTACGTAGAAGCAAAAGTCCTACGTAGGACCTCAAATTGGAGGGCGTTTTGCCAGAAAGGCACAATAGAAGCAAGACTCCTACGTAGGACCTCAAATCGGAGGGCGTTTTGGCAGAAAGGCACAATACATTGTTATGTTGTAATATAGCATGATAAGCCCTCAAAGCGCAGAGGCCGCGAGTACCGAAGAACTCTCATCTGTGTTGCGTCCCAGCCAGTGACTGCTGCCCTCCCCCCGTTCGCTAGTTGGAAGACGGGATGCCCCCGTACACTGCCAAAGGCCAACATCTCCAGTCATTGTACTGAAAGACCAAAGAAGAATTTGCGCATATTATCGTGGACCAGAGAAGAGAAGTAAGCTTTTGCTACAGGGCACCAATTTGCCACACAATTCCACAAATTTTATTTTTGTGTTGCTAAAATTAGGAATTATGAAGCCGTGCGCACACCATCGGAAAGCTGGGCGCTTTGGCTTTCAGTTGTGGGTATGTGCACGCCCAAAACGAATGTATTGAATGAGCTGTGTCAGTCTAGAAAGTTCACATATTAGTGATCGCCACCAACGACAATCAACCCAACTTGCCACCCCAAAACATATGGGTTTTGGCAAGCTGGCGAGGCAAAATCTCGGGACATTTCATCTAAATGTCTGCAAACTCTAGTATCCTGACGGGATCGTGTGCCGAGTCTTCGTCTTTGTAGATCTGCGAGGGAGGAATCGGATACTTCTGGAGGAAGTCTTCGCACTCCGCGAAGAAACACTCGATCTCATGCGACTTGACAGCGTTGACTCGAGCGCTATCTAGGATGCGACCCTTGCGAACTGAGAGTCTATCAGCATGGTGCCTGAGAAACTTCGTGATCCAGTTGGATGACGGCCCTGCTTTGCCGAACTGGTGCTCACGACCGTCGCTGATAATGTCGATAAGCATCGTACGAAGTCGCTAACGTGAAGCTGGAAATCCTTTCCGCGCTACGTCTAGAAGACCTTCCACCAGCCCTTGCTCTTCCTCGGAGGAAATGGCCGCTTCCCTTCCCGCCCGTACACCAATGTCTGCGCCCTCAAGGAAGCGCTTCAGAGTTCGAGCGGGAACTTTGTACACACGCTCGGCGGTCTTGTGCGAAAGCTGCTTCGCGTTGACGGCAGCAAGCGCTCGCTTCAGATCTAGTTGCGTATATTTCTTGTAGGAACGCTTCGGCAGCGAAGTGGTCTTGGCCTTAGCGTTCAGGGAAGCCTTCGACGTTTTGCTCTTGGCGACGGAAGATGCGTGTCGAGTGTGAAGGGTGAACCGAGTCGAGGTGAGTCTTGAGGTATCTGCGATAGATTTAGGAGTGAGGTGGAGTGAGTTCTAGCTGGCGATGTGGGCAGGAGTTTTCTTAGCGGGTAGACAAGTTGCGGAAAGACCAGCATCCTTCAGCGGGCAGAGCGCGAAGATATTGCATGTTGAAGTGCTTAAAATACCCGCAGGTGATACAGGCGGCAAATGGGTTCCCTCGGAAAATTGGTGCCCTGTACCCTTACTCAGACGCGAGCCCATTGCAAGATTGGTCAATGCATCGGCCCCAAGGTGCGCGAGGTGTCCGTGTCGAACGTGCTCGTGGTGAACCCGACCAACGCCGTGGTGACGGTCAACAAGAACTGGGGCGACAAGGCCACGCTCAGCAACATTTGGGTCAAGTCGAGCAAGGCCGCCGTCAAGGTGTGCCAGTGGTCGCAGGGCAACCCCAAGGGCGAGCCTAGCATCCTCGGCCACGGTCCTTCCGGCACGCTGTGCCAGTACTCGACCAGCGACGTCCACATCAACCAGGACATGAAGCAGGCCAAGCAGGGCTCGCCCGAGCAGTCGTCCCCCAACCCGGACCGCCCAGAGCGATATCACGCCCGCCCCCAAGACGAAGAAGCCCAAGGCTTCGACCCCTACGGTGACGACCGCCCCTCTGAAGAAGACGAAGGCCCCGAAGACCACGACGCCCGTTACTACTGCCCCGTTGAAGAAAACCAAGGCTCCCAAGACGACCGCCCCTCTCAAGAAGACGAAGGCTCCCAGCCCGAAGCAGCAGGACGAAGACGAGGAGCAGCAGGACTTCGTGCAGCAGGACCAGGTTGACCAGGATCTCCTCGGTTAAAGGGGTTAAGCATTTACAGGGGCAGAACTTTCTACAGCAACACACGTTGACGACTTACACTGCGATACTGGGTGCACAAGCTAGCCGCCTTTTTGAGTAGTGTACAAGTAGCGTTAAAATAATTGATGGTGCGTTTGATAGAGTAACTTTGGTGGAACGCGTTCGATTGTCCTCCAACGCGATGGACCTTACTGCAGGTCATTGGTGTACCAGAAATCCACGCCCTCGCGGAGGAAGCCGCCATGGCGGTCTTTGAAACGAAATCCTACATGCAACTGAGGAAAACGGTATTGATAAACCCTGCTGAGCAGTTTCCAGGCAACTGTACTGTATCAGGATGCAATAGCGGCAAGTATCGTACACCTTGTAATCAGCAACACTGTTTGAATTTGAACTAATACTTGAAAATGCTTCAGTACTTCTCGAAATTGTAAACACTAGTGTTGCTCATTGCAGTGGTTCGTACAAATACCCTGCCCCGTCAACACTGGAACGCCAACGGAACTGCCTGCAGAAACGCAGGGATCTAAACATCCCTATCAAAACACCTCAAGCCGCACGGTAAGGTAAAACCATCAGCTGGAATCGAGCACTGCGCGTACGGACGCTCAAACGGCCAAGTCATTGAGCTCTCTCAGCCCGTCCAGGCAGCAGAGGCGGACGGTCGTTCGCACACGTACATGTACATGTGCATGTGCATGTAGAGGCTTATGCTGCTGCTCGACCACACAGCTATGCACTTGGAAGGTGCTCGAGTTCCTATATGACTCTACTCTAGTCATTCCTCACATTCGTAAGAGCTTAGCTCAATGCTGGACCAACTAACTCGTCATGGTAGCAAATTCATCAATACTCGTATTCGAATAAGTATCGGCTCTCCAACAAGTACCGATTGGTAAAACTAAACAGGGAAAAACGAATGAAGTACTATCAAACCATCCATCAATTACGTTAACTCTACTTGTACGCCCCAACAAGATACATCTAGCCTACGCACTCGCGCTCACACAGTGTGAGTTGTCAGCGAGTTCACTCCTCGCTGACAGCGGACGGAAACCCCAGTCCGAGTAATGTGCAAGCGCTCAAATTAGTTCTGCTGCTCCACGTCTTGCTGCTCAACGCTCTGCTGCTCAACGCTCTGCTGCTCAACGCTCTGCTGATCGTCCTGCTGTTCGGGGCTAGGAGCCTTCGTCGCCTTGGGAGCCTTCGTGGCCTTGGGGGCCTTCGTGGCCTTGGGCGCCGTAGTGGTGGGCGTCTTCGTCTTCGGGGCCTTCGTCTTGGGCGTCACGGTAGGGGTCGCGGTGGCAGGCGTCTTGGTCTTAGGGGCCTTCGTCTTCTTCAGGGGCGCAGTAGTAGGGGCCACCGTTACTTCGACCTGAACGATAGGAGTCGTGGTGTTACCATCGGCACCACTGGAGGCAACGCTCGACTGCTGCACGGCCGACTGCGACGCGTCGTTCTGCTCCGGCGAGGACTGCTCCGGTGAGGACTGCTCGGCCTGGTTGATGTCCTCGTTGATGTGGACGTCGCTGGTCGAGTACTGGCACAGCGTGCCGGAAGGACCGTGGCCGAGGATGCTAGGCTCGCCCTTGGCGTTGCCCTGCGACCACTGGCACACCTTGACAGTGGCCTTGCTCGACTTGACCCAGACGTTGCTGAGCGTGGCCTTGTCGCCCCAGTTCTTGTTGACCGTCACCACGGCGTTGCCCGGGTTCACGACGTACGTGTTGGACACGGACACCTCGCGCGCCTTGGGGCCGCAAGTGCCGCACGAACGGTAGAGCTTGCTGACGTCCTCGCCGTAGAAGCCGTCGATGATGACCTTGCCCAGGCCGTTTTGCTGGATGACCTTGTCGTCGGCGTACCGAGCGCCACCACCGATGACCTTCGTCACGCTCGAGGCCGAGCCGCCCTTGATGCTGAGCGCGTCCTCGCACACGTCGTCCCACCACACGTTCTCGATGATGCAGTCTTGCTGGTCGCAGTGGACGCCCTCCATTTGGTTCTTGCCGATGATGACGTTCTTGAGGTGACCGCCGGCCTCCACGAAGAAGACGCCCGTCCTCCAGCTGCTCTCGGACTGGCCGTCGCACTTGACGTTGGAGCGCTCGAACGTCTGCATCTTGCCGTCAAACACCTCACCCGCCTTGATGGTGCGCACCTCCGAGAACTGCACGAGGCCCTTGCTGGCAGGCCACGTACCGTCCGGCAGGGAAGCAGCGGAGGCGGTCGCAATGAGAGCAGCAGTCGCAGCGAAGAACTTGAACATCGTGGATGGCAGCAATGAAAGGGAGTGTGTGTGTTGTACTGGTCGGATGCTCGCTTGCTGGTGAGTTGATTAATGAGGAGTGGTCGGGGCGATGCGGGTCGTGCGTGAGGTAGGGCCGATCAACGAACGTGATGAGACTCTCGCGGTGCGACCATCATGAGCTGGAGCACCAGGTGTTTTCTCGCAGCCATGCTGCTGCGTGGGGTGCGGCTGTGGGTCACGCTTGACCCACTCAGCTTTTCTCGATCGCGCGTCAAATCGGTGACGATGGATCATGCCTGTCAACTTGATTGAGTGCGAGCCAACGTAATGATGGCGTGTTGACAAGTTGACACTTTCGGCTATCCGTAACCACGGGAGCGGTGCGACCACTTTTTCCGACTGTACGAGCAACAGTACACTTTACACTTTAGGACCCAAGCGGCACATAGGTGGCAACTCCAAACTCTTGTTGGTTGCAAACAGCAGCAGCAGCAAGCTGGTGCATTGCACACAGGCACCAGGAAACATGTGCGCTTCATGTACTGTACCAGGCTGGTTGACAGCCAGCAGCTGGCGCCGGAGCCACGATGTGTCCTCGCCTCAGACCCAGCTTCTGTAAGTTCGCTCTGGATCAAGTGCGGCCAGGCGCCTTGAACAGCCGTACAGGTGTATCGTGTCTTCAGATCCCGGGTAATCGCTGATTTTGGTTCCGACCAAACTGTTGTTGCAGAGAGAAAGCATTGGCGATGTGCGCTGCGTGCGACCCCCAGCCCTCCATAGCGCCACGTTTGAAGCGCAGCAAGGTCGGTTGGACCGACTCGAGCTGGACTCGAGCTGTCGTCCCTGGGCGTGTTACCTGCTCTACAGTATCCTAGAGCACGCACGGCACTGCTGATTAAACGTCGACTACCGGAAACAGATGCTCTCGAACGAGATTGCGGCGCAGCGACAACAGCGACTTGTGCGGCCTCGTGGTGGTGTTCATGCATGTCCATTCAAGTGTTGTGTGGCGTCCTGCTGGGGTCACACGGGGTGCCCGCTTCAGGAAATGGAAGGCTTGATAATCATTAGTACGCTCAAGCGGGCCAAGCACCAATATTGAGGGGGCACTTGCACGCGTTCGGCTTTTGTATAAGGAAACAAGACGAATCTTGTTGCCACTACGTCAATCCTTTTCCTTGATGATCTGAACCAGCTGGCTTCGTTAGTCGCGTTAATCAACATGGTTGTTCCTACGTACGTTTGCTTCTCGGACACCACAAGGCCACGAGGTCGTGGCCGGCAGTGGCACTGGGTGTTAAAGCTGGACCAACGGAGCCTCGTTTTGGTTCGTGCTATCACAGCGGTAAGCTGACCTCTTCCTGCTAAGCCTCTACATGCACATGCACATGTACATGTACGTGTGCGAACGACCGTCCGCCTCTGCTGCCTGGACGGGCTGAGAGAGCTCAATGACTTGGCCGTTTGAGCGTCCGTACGCGCAGTGCTCGATTCCAGCTGATGGTTTTACCTTACCGTGCGGCTTGAGGTGTTTTGATAGGGATGTTTAGATCCCTGCGTTTCTGCAGGCAGTTCCGTTGGCGTTCCAGTGTTGACGGGGCAGGGTATTTGTACGAACCACTGCAATGAGCAACACTAGTGTTTACAATTTCGAGAAGTACTGAAGCATTTTCAAGTATTAGTTCAAATTCAAACAGTGTTGCTGATTACAAGGTGTACGATACTTGCCGCTATTGCATCCTGATACAGTACAGTTGCCTGGAAACTGCTCAGCAGGGTTTATCAATACCGTTTTCCTCAGTTGCATGTAGGATTTCGTTTCAAAGACCGCCATGGCGGCTTCCTCCGCGAGGGCGTGGATTTCTGGTACACCAATGACCTGCAGTAAGGTCCATCGCGTTGGAGGACAATCGAACGCGTTCCACCAAAGTTACTCTATCAAACGCACCATCAATTATTTTAACGCTACTTGTACACTACTCAAAAAGGCGGCTAGCTTGTGCACCCAGTATCGCAGTGTAAGTCGTCAACGTGTGTTGCTGTAGAAAGTTCTGCCCCTGTAAATGCTTAACCCCTTTAACCGAGGAGATCCTGGTCAACCTGGTCCTGCTGCACGAAGTCCTGCTGCTCCTCGTCTTCGTCCTGCTGCTTCGGGCTGGGAGCCTTCGTCTTCTTGAGAGGGGCGGTCGTCTTGGGAGCCTTGGTTTTCTTCAACGGGGCAGTAGTAACGGGCGTCGTGGTCTTCGGGGCCTTCGTCTTCTTCAGAGGGGCGGTCGTCACCGTAGGGGTCGAAGCCTTGGGCTTCTTCGTCTTGGGGGCGGGCGTGATATCGCTCTGGGCGGTGTACTCGTCGTCCGGGTTGGGGGACGACTGCTCGGGCGAGCCCTGCTTGGCCTGCTTCATGTCCTGGTTGATGTGGACGTCGCTGGTCGAGTACTGGCACAGCGTGCCGGAAGGACCGTTTCCGATAATGCTAGGCTCGCCCTTGGGGTTGCCCTGCGACCACTGGCACACCTTGACGGCGGCCTTGCTCGACTTGACCCAAATGTTGCTGAGCGTGGCCTTGTCGCCCCAGTTCTTGTTGACCGTCACCACGGCGTTGGTCGGGTTCACCACGAGCACGTTCGACACGGACACCTCGCGCACCTTGGGGCCGCAAGTGCCGCACGAACGGTAGAGCTTGCTGACATCCTCGCCGTAGAAGCCATCGATGATGACCTTGCCCAGGCCGTTGTGCTGGATGACCTTGTCGTCGGCGTAGCGAGCGCCGCCACCAATGACCTTGGACACACTCGAGGCCGAGCCGCCCTTGATGCTGAGCGCGTCCTCGCACACGTCGTCCCACCACACGTTCTCGATGGTGCAGTCTTGCTGGTCGCAGTGGACGCCCTCCATTTGGTTCTTGCCGATGATGACGTTCTTGAGGTGACCGCCGGCCTCCACGAAGAACACAGCGGTGTCCCACTTGCTCTCGGACTGGCCGTTGCACTTGACGTTGGAGCGCTCGAACGTCTGCATCTTGCCGTCAAACACCTCGCCAGCCTTGACCGTGTACACCTTGTCGAACTGCACGAGGCCCTTGCTGGAGGGCCACGAGCCGTCGGGCAGGGACGCGGCCGAAGCGGTCGCAATGAGGGCAGCAGTCGCAGCGAAGTACTTGAACATTGTGGTTGACAGCGATGTATTTATTGATGAGGTGCTTGGGCGCTTGCTGCGCTGATGGCAAATTGATTAATGAAGAGTGGTCGGGGCTGGTCGATTAACGTGGTGTCCGTGACTTGCGATCAGTGCTTCGATGCGCCAGCGGCCGAACGTGGAGACTGAAGAGCTGGGTCGACAGTTGTTTTCTAGCAGTCATGCTGCTGCGTGGGGTGCACTGCGAGCGGCTGCCACTCGTTCCCATTTCAAATCCATCGCAACGTTCCGTGCCTGTCAACTTGGTGTTTTGTAAAAAAGTTGACGTTTTTTACTGTCCGAACCTCAGGGACCGCAAACAGTCAAATTGTTGATATGCCAGGTTACAGCTATGCCACGCGGTTCCTATTCAGGTTTTAAAAGTGAATATGTGCACTCTTGTCAGCGGCCGACTGGCGGCAGCTTAAAGCACGACGTGCCCTCGGGATCCAGCTTCTATAAGCCCTCTATGCTGTGTGCAGGCGGGTATATCAGGTGAACGCCAAGGTCAGGCAGCCTGAATCAACAGCCGTCTCAAATCTAGGTACAGTATAGCCGAGTTTCATTCTGACCTAAGTAGTGTTGCCTAGAAAGAGAAAGAAAGATGAAGAAAAACATTGATAAGGTAAGCGATAAACGTACGCTTGACCCCATCGTGCAGTGGAAGCTTAAACCAATTTGGGCTGCCGTTCGTGGACGTACAGTATTGTTTGTGCTGTTCTAGAGCGAGCACGCACGACCCCAAGTCGTCTGACCGCAAAACAAACAGAGTGAGAACCCGAGAGAGCGCCCGTCTGGTGACGACGAGACGCGGAAAAGTGTCGGCAACTCCGCTGATTAGACATCGACTACCGGAACAGATGCTCCCAAACGAGATTGCGTTGCGACGACAACGCAGACACCCCACAGGTTTACATGTACCAGTGCGAAACCAAATGTCATTTGAGCCGTGCGCCTACTGCCGTTCATGTTTCTCCGTGACTGCGGTGCGTTCACGGGGCCCTCAAGAAAATGAAAGGCATACTCAGTGTTACTGCGATTGGGGTAGCAGCAATCCCACCTTAGCAACGCAGGGCGAAGAACCAGTCTAAGAAATTGGGGAAACTTGTTGTCGCTACGTCGAGCCTGTTCCTTGATGGTTAAAGATGCTTGAGGTAAAACTATTTCGCATCAGTTGACAGGATTTTTTAAAACTAGAATCCGTGTCTCAAATCTCCAGCCCTGGGTTTATGGTACCCGGGCTAGACATTTGAGACCTCACCATTTAACCCAAAGTTGGGGGCACCTGTTCAGAGCGCCCCTTCGCACTTTTTTGAAGCAGCTGGTCTCTGTTAGTCGCGTTAATCAACGCGGCCCCGCCTATGTCTGCTTCGCGACCACCACAAGGTCACGAGGACGTGGCCGCTGGTTGCCCTCGGTGTGAAAGCTACTAGCTTTCTTCAAGCTAGACCAGCGCGGCCTCGCATGTCGCGTTACTTATCACAGCGCTCTACACTTTAAGACGCTCCTCCAGCTCCGTTGTTTGGACGGACGAGAAGAGAGCTCGGCCCTAGGAATTGCTTCCCGCTCGTATGTATGTACATTATAATAGTGTTCGCACAAACACTAACTGTAGCTAACACTAGTGTTTGCAAACTGTTTGTTAGTGTGTTGTGAATCTGGCTTACTTGTTTGTGGAGTTAGTGTAGTGGATACCGAGGTTCAGTCACCTTGGTTCCGACTCCATGGCTACAACAGGTGACCCAAATGTCCATCTATCAGTTGACGAGAATGGGTACACCACTCACAGGCCGGACAGACTGTAAGTGTCTTCTCCGGTATGCTTCCTGCATAGCTTAGAACTTGTAAGTTCAACTGCACATTTATCTGGACAGAGTCCAACGGAGCTAGTTACCATCAGACTCGGGCCTCACTCCTGAATCTTCTATCTATCGATCAATACACTAGGCATCAGTTCTCTGCGGGTTAGCCACCCGCATCGCCCTGTGTGATTGACTTTGAAGCCCTTCAGACCCGGAACCAACTACAGTTAGACCATTTTAAACAACTTGCTTCGAAGTATCTTGAACTAAAAGAGTTGAAGCTCTTGTCACTTGTCGGAAGCTGACTTGCACACGAAGGTATTCATCCTTACACCAACCATGATATTTTCAAACTATGCAGCACTAGATTACTCTTGCTACGCCGTGGTGCGTACATGGAATGTGGACTCGGCATCGGATGCTACTTAATTGTGAGTACACTTCGCTGACTTCTGAGTAATTCCACATAATGTGGCTTAGGAAAGATGCCACGTCCGGCATCGCCGCCTTGGACCAGACCGGAGAAGGATACAATGTAAATGCATCTGGGGAAGTCAAGCATCGATCCACTTATGCGGACGTGAGTTAGCTAATAGAGAATTCAAGCGTCATATATGTAGCAGAAAACAAAAGATAAGTTGCCCTAAAGGGTTTGTAGCACGTTATTTGTCTTCGTGAATGGCATCCCAACAAGTAACGTCTTAAGCATGGAGTCAATTGTTTCAAGTTGACGCAGCACACGAGTTTAAATGAAGTTTACGTACCGGAATTCCGAGCACATTACCCATTACTCGAAAGTTCGCGAAATGTACTCAAACGTAAGGATGACCCCTCGACAACGGGTAACTGGTCATTAATTTGATCTGCTAGTGATAGAGCAGCAAACATACAAACGCATTTGCAAACAACACCAACTGTAAGTTAGTGTGTTGTGAAAATCACTAACATGTTTGCGGAGTACTCTAATGTACTTGTATGCGTATGTCGGATGGTGCTCAATCTTCCACTCGTTGGCAACATAGTTTGAGATGTCGTTGACACTTGCCTACAGTAGACTTTGCGCCGTTGGATCGATCGTGGGCTGCTTGCCATCGGGTACGCCGTGGATATCCACGGCGTAATGAGTGCTGTCATTGGCCCCCACCTCCTTTGCTGACTATCTTCCTCCTCGATGGACACACTGAATGGTGTGACCTTCCCGTAATCGCCCTACTCCTTGCCACGGACGTGAGTATGCTACCGAGTGCTATCAACTAGTATGTTTCCAGAATAAAAGCATGTAAGATTTTTTTCATCTGTATGAGCTGTTGTGAATGCGTGAGTACGTATATATTTTGGCTACATGATTTGAACCCTTTTCTCTCTACGGGATTATTGAAAATAAATGAAACGGTTTCCATATCAATCGATGCAACTCGTGCTTGGTACGACCAGTATGATACTTCTATCAACACGATAATTAGGAGTGGGGAAAATAGCAAACAACAGTAAGAAGCAGAATGCTGAGTAGTGAGTAGTTGAACATCATAAAAATCATACTCACTATGTTTTTTTGAGTAAGCAACAATGTATAACGCCGAGGACAGCTCGTTAGTCTGTTCGGTGTTCATTCAACTCCTGACCCCCGTTGGTCATACCAGCATTAAATCAACGTTTGGCTTCAGTTGGACAGCTCTTATTTGCTGTTGTCTGTCAGTAAGTTCGCTGCAAGTTGTTTTTTAAACAGGATTCAGCGAACAAGTCGTTAGCAGAATCGAGCCCTGTACGACCGACTGGACCGGTTGATGCGTTGGCTCGGCGAGAAGAAGTGCTCACCGGGCACTCGGAGGTATAGCTTGACGATTTTGCTTCGCACATGAGTGAAGTAGCGTTTCTGAACCGCGCATGCAGCGCTGTAGGAACCTACTACTAGGGTCTTAGTACACCACCCATGACACACCAATAAGCAGCCCACTGTCATCCGTGGAGACACCACGCCGCCTCCTAGGAGTGCGCTACTCACTGCACCCCGACGAAAATTACTCACTGTTTGGGTCCATTTGACTTCACGGCAGCCCCACCACTTCTAAGAGCTGTGGACGCAGTCACCAAGTCGTAGTTCGTTGCCCGGCAAAATGTTGCGGCAATGGAAGATTTTTAACTGGGTCTTATGCAGAATCGTGTTTCTTGGTTGAGACGAAGAATGTGGGTTTCGGTCGGCGAAGGAGTGCAGCTCACAGCAAATCCCTTGAAGTCATCAAGGCCGTGGTTGGGCTGTAGAACGTGGGGCTCGTGGAGTTCGGGAGGGGGGGGGGGGGTCAAACAACCAGGAGCCAACGATTGCCGCGAGCGCCAGCGACGCCAGTTTGCAAAGTTCTTGTATACAGCAGAAGCACCCACCTCTCCACACCCTGGGCTCAACTCGCTCTCAAGATCGAGTTGAAGTTGATTTCGTAAGTTCTCACTGAATATAATACGCGGTTTCCCCCACACGACTGAGTTACGAGGAAACAGGTCTTGGACTTGATCATAGCGTACTTTTTCTATGATCTCGTGATTGGATCACATTCGCCATGTTTTGACGACAAAAGCCACTTCACCGTAGACTACGAACGCCCTCTTGCTCACCGCAGTGGCTGCAATGGCGCTGGTGGGTACCGGTATCACCAAGTTGCGAGCAGCTAGGTGATGCGGGGCCTTCCAGCCCTGATCGTCCAACCCGCTATGGACCGAGCCTCCTCTCCACCCAGGCTGGAAGATGCAGCAGCAGGCCACGGCACGCCGGCGTAAGGCGCCCGCGGCTCCCTCGAGCTCGTCGCTGATCAAGTCGCCGCTTGCACGAGACAACTCCTCCGCTCCAAGAAGTAGGTGGGCGTGGGTGCGCTCGTCGTATTGATGGACAGTGCCTGGGTCGGCACTGTCCATCAATGCTCTCCGCTGTCGCCTTGAAAATCGGTCCAAAAAGCAGAAGGTGTCACCAGCAGCTCAGTCCGATGCAGCTGCTCCCAATTACTCCGAAGAACCCTCTCCGCGCAAGAAGATGGCAATCCAGACACAGCCAAACGCACCAAAAGACTCCCGCAGCAGACGCCCCTCGTGATCGAGAGCCGCCGCGGCGGAGCCCGTCGCGATGTTTTCGATGTCACCCGAGCCCGTGGATGTCCATCCTGCAGAAGGAGAATCGCAGGTCTGTGGAGCTCACCGTGGGCACCGCGGCGCTCAGGTCCTGCTACGGCAAATGACACCGTCTGAATTTCGCTGCGCGGGCGACGACTTCGGCGTGTGTTGCGCCCTAGGCCCGTGTTCCCGTACGACGGTCAGAGGTGGCAGCTGGAGCATGAGGACACCAAGTCCATGACGGCGGTCGGCCCGCCCACGCCCGCCATCGCCGCAGCATTGACCTCGAGTATTCCACGACAACTACAGACTCAAGTTCGCCCACACTTCGTGCAGCTCGACATACTGTGCTGTCCAAGCTCTACGACGAGGATTCGGAGTGGTGGGGAAGACGCAGTTCGCCTCGTTGATGAGTTGTAGGTCAAGTCTCGCCGCACTCCCAAGCTCTACATCAAGGCCAGCACGTTTTAGGGGCACCCGTGCGCCACTCCGCGCACCCGCTACAAGAAGGAGAAGGATAATTCGTGGCACCCAAGCCCGTGACTGCGTATAAGCTTCGCCAAGAACTTCTCGTCGGTTGTCATATTCGCTACGGAGGGGATAAGCTGCAACGCGAGGTTCGTGCAGGCGAATTCTTCACCCTGTAGAGCGCTGGCATCGCATGGGAGCGCGAAGCATGTCAAGCGGCGTGAACACTGAGGGTTGGCTGCCATACTGCTCGAAGGCGCTCGCAGGAGCGACTAGACCGTGCTGCCTTACACGGTAGAGTATAAGTCATTGCTACGTCCAATGCATAGTTTACATATCGAATCGAATACAATTGCCTCACTATATAAGAGAGCCCATCATGTAAGGTTACCGTCTATGCATCTTGCTGCGACGACCAGCTCGATAAAGCAGCAGAATACTGCAAATTGAGGTGCAGGCCTTATTAAGAAATGACTAAAGACGTGATTGTAAGGCATCAAACCCTTGCTACTGCATAATGTCTGCTCATTCAACGTAAACCACCTTCATCTACAAGAAGTCCTGCCATTACTTGGCAGGGCAGAACGTTGAACGGAGCATGGAGAAGAATTGTCGTGTCATGTTCCACTTCTGTGGGTGTTTGGTTCAGGTCTACCGATTCGGTCTCATAATCAGCATGTTCAAATCCCAGACCTGATCTGCATTAGAACCAAAATAAAGGCAACCGCGGCAATCTATGGAGCGTTATCAGAGCGTCAGTCCTGTTGTGTATAGCACCTTTCATCCTGGCATAATGCTTCTATAGCACCAAACAGTATGTGCTCACTCCACTGGCAGATAGATATTTCCATTCAAACCTAACCGGCCTTAAGCCGCTCAGTGATTTTCCCTTGCCATTCAGTCATTATCAAGTTTCGAAAGGGCACCCCGCAATTGCATTCGTGGTGGGATGTAGTATACACGCCTTATCTGCTAGCGCAACTACTGTAGACTTTGACACTTTGTGTTTTCACGACGCGTCTGCACGTAAAGAACTCTGCTCCAATGCCATACGTACAGCACGAAGAGAGAATTTTGCCAGTAGTCTGTCGTGTCTCGGCCCGCGTTGCCCCTATTTTCATACCTCACTCCGTGAACACGTTTGGGGCAAAGGCGATAGTTCTTTGATCACCGAAGGCATGCCTCGCAATGGGTCTCGCAGAGATTTGGTGCGAGGCAGCCCCCGATGAATGCCAAGGTGGTCTTGAACATGCCTTGTCCCAATGGAGTGTTGGCTGGAGTCGGGTGCCAAGCGCGAGACGTTGTTCTGTTGAGCTTGATCGGGACGGTCCGGCACCTGGACTTGGAGACTGGGCTTCATGCAGCGTTTTCGCAGCTTCGTTGGGCGCAGCAGCTTTGTGCCTTACCCCAGAGTGAGAGAAGAGGGGCGAAGGTGGTGCGAACGGGCGGAGCTGCTGAGGTCTGTTGACTGCTTGGTCCATGGGTGATTGGGGCGGCTGATCCGGGTAGGCTGCTTGTGCTTCTGGAATGCTGCAGCTGCTGGTCCCGCTGGGTGGCGACGTCCGCCGCATGTGTACAATGGCCGTAGTTTCGGCCATGTCACACTGCGTGGTTTGCTCGTGCCGGTTGTTCAACTTGGGCTGCTCGTTCTGCGAGGCTCACACCAGTGCCAACGGTGCACACCCGCACGGTGAGGGTGCAGCAGCTGCAATGGTGGCGGAGCTGGCCTGTCGGTCTGCATGGCCGCATGGTCTGCTTGTACTTCTTGGCCTGCTTTGGCCACATAGCCTGCTTGAGCTGCTTGTACTGCTTGGGCTGTATGGCCTGCCCGGGCTGTATGGCCTGCCCGGGCTGCATGGTCGGCTTGAGCTGCATGTTCAACTTGGGCTGCATGGCTGGCTTGGGCTACATCGCCTGCTTGGGTTCTGCTTAGACGTCATGGCCTGCTTAGCCTGCTGGTTCGGCTAGTTCTACTGGACAGCATCGTCCGGGTCGGTGCCGATACCGTCCACCACACGATGGGGGCACACTGGCTGCAGTGGTGGTGGAGCGGACCGTGCAAGGGTGGTCGGCGCCGCTGATGCTGGTGTTGCTGCTTGAACCGCTGATACCGCTCGGTGGGCTTGGACGGCTGATCTGCTGGGTATGCTGGGCGGCAGCTGCATACGATGCACGGTCGGTGACGCGGTGGTCACCACGCAACGGGACCGACGCACGGGCTTCTGCCGCTTGACCTGCGTGGGCTGCTCGGGCTGCGTGGGTAGCTTGGACCGCGCGGACTACTTGACTTCTGGACGGCCTCGTCCGGGCGAGGCCAATGCCGCCCACCGCACGGTGAAGGCGCAATTGCTGTCATGGCGACGAAGACGGCTGAGCGAGGGTTGCTGCGGCTGGTGCTGCTGAACGGCTCGTGCCGCTCGTGCGCGTCTACTGCTGCAATTGGAGGGTCTTGGCCTTTGCGAACGGATTGGAGTGCGAGAGCCCCACGGACGGGTTGAACTACTTAGACTGGATGAAAGGCTTAGACTGCTCAGTGGCGTGAATTACTCACGCTGCAGATGCTGCTGGCGCTGGCCACCCGTGCCAGTGCCGAAGCCAACCACCGCACGGTGGAGGCGCATGGCTGCAATGGCGTTGGACGTGGCCGCGCACTTGATGTTGTTAATGCCGCTAGCGGTGTTGGTCGGTCGCGTTGCTTCCGCTGACGGCCATAGAGGTGGAGGCCGTACAAGAGCAGATCTGGCTGGACAGGTGCTGCTGCTGCTGCTTGGGTTCTTGGGCTGCTTGGTGCTTGAACTGCTGGTGCTTGGGCTGCTGGTCTTCCGCGCCGGTGCCGATACCGCCCACCGCACGCAATGGCAGCCGACGTCGGAGCTGGTCTTGGACGGATCTTGGACTGCTTGGTGAACTTGAGCTGCTTGATCTGCTGGGCGTCCGTGCCGGGGCCGATGCCGCCCACCGCTTGGTGGGGGCGCAATAGGCAGCCGACGGCGGAGCCGGCGTTGGGCAAAGGCATGAGCTGCTTGGTGGGCTTGGGTGGCTTGGGCTGCATCGGCTGCGTGAGCTGCTGGGCGTCCGCGCCGGTGCCGATGCATCTCACCGCACGGTGGAGACGCAATGGCAGCCGGCTTGGGCTGCTTGAGCTGGGGCTGCTGGTGCTAGGACTGCTTGGCCGGCTCGGTCGGGGTGGATCCTTGGGCCAACTGGTCTGCTGGTGCTTGGGCTGTTCGTGCTTGGCTGCTGGGAGCGCTCGGACTGCTTGAAATACTTAGGTACTGAGGCGGCCGGGGCCAGATCCGCCCGCAAGCTGGGGGTGCAAGGGCGGCACTGGTGGCGGTGTCGGCGCAAGGACTGATGCTTCTTGGGAGACTTGGTCGGCTTGATGGGCTGCTTGGACTGCCGCGAGGGCTGGTGCCGGACTTGGTTGGTCATGGTCGCTGCTGTTGAGCTGGGGTCCGGCTCTGTCGACGCTGTGACCACTTACAGCATGGTGGAACCGCTGGGCGAAAGCGCTGGAGGACATGAGGACTGACTGGCTGCTAAACGCGCCGTGGTAGGGGCAATCGTCGGAGGACTCGCTCAGCGAGTTGGCTGCGTGCAAGCTGAGAGCTAAAGAACGTCGCCCCCTAAACTAAAACTAAGCTGAATGTTGTTGGCCACGAAGGCCTAGTGCAAAGACGTGACATACCGCAGTGTTGAATGCGCTTGAAAACGTGGTTCACTTCTTCGGTCGAAAAACCTGCTTTCCACCGCTGCGCTTGTACAAAACACCCAGTAACGAAGACAATGAACAGCCCAAATTATCCTGGGGGCGTGGGGAAACAACATAGGATAGATACTACGTTCATATCATCCAGCGACAACAGCAAATTGCTGTCGATAGAGGGCAGTCCTGCATTGAAAAATGGAACGCTGTAGAAAGGAAGAAAAAAAAACACCTCGATTAATTAGTTGCCGGTAACCTTTTTGCTAACTACAAAATAAATAAAAATTAAATCCGTGGAAACGTGGTGGAGGAGGTGGGTTTGTCAAACGTCAGCCGCTGAAGTATCGAGGCAACAGATTCTGCGTTGATAATTCAACTCTTCACCGTGTCGATAAAATGAGTCTGGCGCGTTCCAATAAAGGAATCGACATACCTTGGGACACTTGGTTGCTGGGATTCCGTTTATGGGGGCGTGTCAATACGAAACTGTCACGCAGCATAGCGGTACGCGCCCTTCAAAGCACTACCAGTACTCTGTAGTTCCGCAAGCCATCTTGTATCAGATTTTGGGAAAAGCAACAGACGCTGTTCCAGATGAATCGTGAACGCTTAACTCCATGGTTCCCACAGAGTTCGCCAGATTTCAGCGTTGCTGAAGAAAGACCGCAGGGTCACTTTGGCAGCATTACGACAGTGTCTTTATCAATAAATCGTCTTTGTGAAGAATGGAGGACGACAAACTTCGACGCACACAAGTTTGTTTTTTTGTTTTTGTTTTTGAATTGAGGTTCCATTGGTGTCACTTACAAGACAACGACCTACAAAGCCGGCAGACGCAAAAAGCCGGCAGACAAAGTCAAGCAAAGCTTAACATGAGCAAACCAGCCAATCAGATTCAATCAAATGACTTCGTCTTTGTATACCGTCCGGTTATGTGACTTTATATACTTTCTTGTGTACTTTATGCAACACACTGTGTGTTTTATGACAGTTTTACAGATTTGACAGGGGAGGATGACATTAAGCATGCCGGCTTTGTAAGTCGTTGTCTGTAGCTAATACACACACAAGTTTCCGACGCTCAAGACTACAAAAGCGACGTACCAAACGCCACCCAACAGAGTTGATCCTACTCTTTATCCAGGATACGTTCACCCACGCCCACACGCAGTCGACGGCTCATCATTTAATATACGGACGTCGAGTTGCAATCGCCCAAAACATTGTAGTAGCAGCAGAGGCAATGGTCAGCTATACAGAAGCGCAACAGTGCTGAGTAGTCATCGGCTGAGATCGCACGCGATGCTTTATCAAGGGAAACAGTAGTAGCGGCGGCATTGGTACGCTGTTTATAGGTGGATCATTGGCTTGGCGAGCAGCCGTATAGCTCAGTTCTGATTCAGGCGCGTTTGAAGATCTTCAAACGCGCCCTTTGAGCCAAGCAGAGCAGACATTTGCTACATGTAGAATTCCAGTTTGGAGGAAGTACACTGCTTCGGGTAACCTGAGAGATGAATAGCATAATTATTCATGATACATCCTTCCGCTCGCTGGCATTCGTAAATCTGTAGCCCCTTGAACAAATATCACCAACACCGACGCTGGTTGTTGCGGCCTACGGGTCCTACCGACTCGGTAGTAAAGGCACACCTGCATTGTGGCCGAACTTCGGGTGACTCACTACACCGTTCGGACGATAAAACAGAAACCTACCCCAGTAACCAATCGGACATATCATAACGCCATGTTTACGAATACCGGTATAGGTTACGGTTAGGGTAACCACAAAGGGAACCAAACCGACTCGGTGTGTATGGTTCCTCTTGTTGGTGTGCCCGCCGTGATACCTACTGTAGTGCATGTAGGGAAAACTTCTTTCAGTTCATGAGTCATGGCTGAGGTGGAAGAAGTCCCGCGGGAACTTTCATCCAAGAAGAGGTACAGATACGTGCGTACCCCAGCCAGAGAGATAAAACGAGCTTATCACGGAGACGCCATGAGCGACTAACGGCCACAAGTCGCGGTCAGTGGGAGTAAATATCAAAAACACCGTCCGTTTTCGCGTGCAGCACTGCAAAACCAGCAAAAACACCGTTTCGAGAGACGGGGCTGAGTCAGTCAGTGGTCGATCAACGGAGGTGAGCGGTTGTGAGGAGCGTTGCTGAGAGCACACTTTTGGTGTTTTTGTTAGATCTACGGTGTAGAGGGTACTCCCACGTGGACCACTGACCCTCGGTCAGTGGTCCACCGCTCACGACCTTGTGGTGTTCGAGAACCAAACGTAGCGGTGATCTTGGTTATTAGAGAGGTTTCGCAAAGCAACTTGTGGGAGTTAGCGACAATACATTCCCTACCCCTCTGTAGAGACGTGTGTCTACAAGTTGTTCTCGACTCGTCTAGAACGTCTAGAACGCCCTGTACACGTTGGTACTCGAGGAGATACGGGTAAGCATTTTACAATCTCCCAGCAATCTTTACTATGGAGAAGCCAAGCCAAACGCACAACAACCCCGTGGAGGAGGCCCCACCGACGAAGCGTCGTAAAACGATGGTCCGCTTTACGGACGAGCTTGACTTCTAACTGATCCAGAAAGCTCAAGCGAGAAATCCGTATGGGGAAGACTACGGGAAGAAGACCCCGGCTTGGGCTGATGTAGCTGCAGATTTGGAAGTGGACGTCGACGGTCGCCGTTGCCGCGAGCGCTGCAACCAGCTCGTAGATGCGTATGAGGCAAAGCAGAAGGCGAGTGAGAAACGAAGCGGGCCGTGTGAAGAGTACACCCCGAAGGACGAATGTCTGGTGGAGCTGCTGGAGCTGCGCGAGATAGAGGCGCTGCTGAAGAACGACAAGAAGCAGCCGAAGGACCAGCAGCAGCAGGAGGACGAGCAAGCTAGCGCTATGCGCGACGCAGCCTTAGAAGGGATGAGCCGAGGAGGAGGAAAAGGTGGATCGCAGCAGCAGCAACTGGTTGCTTATCTCGAACGCCGCGACCAAGTCGCTCAAGCACTGGAAGGGAGGAAGGTCGCCAACGAGGAGAAGCGGCTTGCGTTGGAGGAGCGACGCCTGGAACTGCAAGAGCTGCGAATGGAATTTGAGCGAGACGAGCGACTTGCGTTTATTGAAATGTTAAAGGCTGTCGTCAGCAAGACTAGTTCGTAGTAGCTAGACTAAGATACTCCTCGAGGCTTGGCGGCTTAATGGAAAAGAATTTGCTGATCTGGTTGGGGTTGGAACAGTTGCGGAAGTTTGTCAGGAGTTCACCGACCAAGTAGTGTTTCCCCACAGGTGATAGATATAGTCTTTGACTCAGTCTCAGATCAAGAATCGGCCACAAGCGAATGATCCCTCCGAACCCCACTCCACTGCCACGCGAACTTTACTCATAGCCGGATTGAATGCCTTTTGCGTATCACTCAGATTGGAGACCTTGAAACCGACGTGCACCGTTGGTTTGAGTGGGTAGGCAGGATCCCCATAGATGCAATACGGAAGTTCCCCGTCGTAATGTAAGACACGCGAAAGGCGCTCCAGCAGTCCACTCTGCCTTAAAAGCCAAGAGTCGTGACGACGTCCAACCGTAGGACCGTAAAAGTCGATGAATAGTCCGTCCGGCGCCATTACTCCTTGGTATTTTAGCGCGTGTTTCCTCTTGTATCCGTCGTAAACTTGTTTTTGGTTGCGCGTTGGGCGTGCAATAGCACGCACAGTGCCATCGATAAAACCAATGCATCTCGGCTCCGGTGCTCCACGCTGTGTTACAGCAGCAGCGTACTCCTCCAATCGCGACGATGTAAGTAGCCCACATTCAATGGTGAGTAGGCATTTGTACTTGTCGTACACCAACCCCAGCATGAAGTTAAATATCATGCAGACAATAGGGGCGGACCGGTCCCCGAAAAAGCGGCTTATGTCTCCATAACGTCCCGGGTATGCCATGCGGCGCAAGAGAAAGCAGAGGCCCTCGAAACCGGAGAAGACAGCTCAATTTGGGAGTTTATAGCTACTGTCTAGGCGAAGCGCTTCAAAGAGTCGAAATAGGTCTCACTTCCAGAAGCGAAAGTAGAACCGTGTTTCGTAGTCGTTGAGCGCGTTGATGTTAAAGCGTTCGCCGTAGGAAATGGACCGGGGGACGTTGCTTGTGGACGACGTTCGAGCAGAGAGGAGACAAACCGCTTCTTCCTCTGAGAGCATGCCGAGCACGAGAAGGTCTTGTACGTAAGTAGAGTTCATCTTTGAAAATGCTACAGACGTACAAGTCTAAGTTGCGAAAGCTCGTTCTAGAACTTGGCCGAATAAATCTATGGCCGCTCTCTGTCAAATCTTTCGAACGGCTCTAACTTCCACAAATTTAACTTGCGAAACCTCTCTATTAACGCGACTAACGAACCAGCTGCAGCAGATCTTCAAGGAATTGGGGTGACGTAGCGACAACAAGATGCCTTTAGCTGCTTTGTGTTTTTCTCCGGCTGTTTGTACTTTTAAAATAAAAGTACAAATAGTGTGCAGGTGCGTTGGTGTCATACCGGTGGGGTGTAACCGCATCAATTTTTTTAAACAGTCACAGAGGCACCATACTTGCCACCGGGTAATGCATGTCGAATGTAAATTCCTTTATAATTCGGCGCAGCGACAAAATTAAAATAATCGTAGCATCTGTTTCCGGTAGTCGACACGAGGTGCAGACACTAAATATCAGCTCCATCTCACGTGCAAAACTCTATCTGGGTTTCATGGCTTTATGTATTTATAATAGCTTGTCCGGTTGCGTTGTTAGCACCAAACCTTTCTTTTGCATACCACCATGGCACATGAAGAAAAACTGCGGGACCCTGATGCAAATCGCTAGTCCCATCAACACCACGCAGCGGCAGTTTCGTCGGAAAGAGAACCGCACAGATCAAAGTGGACCTGGCCTCGCTTGATCTATGACACCAATTGAGTGACACAAGCAGACTGCAGCTGTAGGCTAGCTACTGCGCTACTCTATAGGCTACGAACATAGGTATCGTTTGTTTCAAATATACGTGTGTAGCAAGCCACACTTTCGTAGAGAAGCTTGATCGCGACCTTCGTGGTATCGCTGCCAACTGGTGTCTCCCAGGTTTCTGAATGCCCTTGTATACGAGTTTGTAACCGCGGATCCATACGCGTACTACAGTATATAGTCAGCTACCTCAGCAAGTTTGGATACACATGTGAGACTGGGCATCACCTATCCGAATCAATTTGCGCGTTAACAGTTCACAGCCCCTGAGTTACATGTACGAATAGCAAACGTGTCATGTTGTATTAAAACGCGCACTCTGCAAAGTTGACAGTCAATGAATGACCCATCGCCACGGATTTGATACGCGAGCAAGAAGGGCCGACAGGATTAATTCACATGGACCCGGCCGACCCCATGCAGCAGCGCGACTACAGGAAACCAACTGGTACTCCAGCTCTTCGCGTTCGCACCGCAAGGCTCAACAAGTTCGATGGCCGCCTAGCTCACGGCCCCAACAACTTTCGTTGCCTCCACCAGTCCTCATTCCTCAATTCACCAGCAAGTGGCCAAGCAAGCTCCAACCAGCCCCCCACACCCCAAGATGTTCAAGTCATTCGCCTTTGCTGCTCTCTTCGCTGCAACTGCCTCCGCTGCTTCCCTGCCGGACGGCACGTGGCCCTCCAGCAAGGGCCTCGTGCAGTTCTCGGAGGTGCGCACCATCAAGGCGGGTGAGGTGTTCGACGGCAAGATGCAGACGTTCGAGCGCTCCAACGTCAAGTGCGACGGCCAGACCGAGAGCAGCTGGAGGACGGGCGTCTTCTTCGTGGAGGCCGGCGGCCACCTCAAGAACGTCATCATCGGCAAGAACCAAATGGAGGGCGTCCACTGCGACCAGCAAGACTGCATCATCGAGAACGTGTGGTGGGACGACGTGTGCGAGGATGCGCTCAGCGTCAAGGGCGGCTCGGCCTCGAGCGTGACGAAGGTCATCGGTGGTGGCGCTCGGTACGCCGACGACAAGGTCATCCAGCAAAACGGCCTGGGCAAGGTCATCATCGACGGCTTCTACGGCGAGGACGTCAGCAAGCTCTACCGTTCATGCGGCACTTGCGGCCCCAAGGCGCGCGAGGTGTCCGTGTCCAACACGTACGTCGTGAACCCGGGCAACTCGGTCGTGACGGTCAACAAGAACTGGGGCGACAAGGCCACGCTCAGCAACGTCTGGGTCAAGTCGAGCAAGGCCACTGTCAAGGTGTGCCAGTGGTCGCAGGGCAACGCCAAGGGCGAGCCTAGCATCCTCGGCCACGGTCCTTCCGGCACGCTGTGCCAGTACTCGACCAGCGACGTCCACATCAACGAGGACATCAACCAGGCCGAGCAGTCCTCACCGGAGCAGTCCACGCCCGAGCAGAGCGCTAGTAACACGACTCAGAGCGAGATCACGCCGGCTCCGACGACGAAGACCTCGAAGACGAAGGTGCCCAAGACGACGGCCCCTACGGTGACGAACGCCCCTCTGAAGAAGACGAAGGCCCCCAAGAAGACGAAGGCCCCCAAGACCAAGGCCCCCAAGACCAAGGCCCCCAGCCCGGAGCAGCAGGATGTCGAACAGAGCGTCGAGCAGAACGCCGAGCAGCAGGACGTGATGCAGAGCGCGGAGCAGCAGGACATCGTGCAGCTGAACTAATCTGCTCTGTTGGCCATGCATGACTCGGGGTAGAGTCCTCTACAGCAACGAAGGTTGAATTTGTTGATTGATTTACGCTACACTACAGATACAGCTAGATGGTAGCGTACAAGTAGCGTTAAAATAATGGATGGTGCGTTTGATAGAGTTATTTTTCAGTGCTGCATCCTTTTTACTACTACTAGTTGCTTCCTAATTAGTATTAGTTTTAACCAAAATAATGATATCAGACTAATATTATGATAGTACTAATGTATAAATACAACTTTTAGAAACATCAACAATTCATGTTGCATTGTATAGTATATATACTTAAGTAAGTAATTCAATCTTACTTTCAACTGAAATTTATTTCAGAGTTGGTCTGATTAATGCCTTAGTACATTCCTGACCAAGTCGATCCACCAATTTTTATCGATAAACGAAGGGTTTCATACAAATAGCACGCCAAACTGCGTGAAAGAATACCGCGTAAGGTAATATTTTAGGTGAATGCTACCTGTGGCGGCAGGTTGTGTAGAGCACCCCAAATAGCTACATTCGAGCGACCTGAGTCTAAAATTTGCATTTACGGGTCAGAATATAACTATTGAAAAATATATTACCGGGGTGGCTGGCGCTAACCAATGGTCCATTCCCTTGGTTTTTTTGCTAACCAATGGTCCATTGGTTAGCGCCAGCCACCCCGGTAATATATTTTTCAATAGCGCTGTTTCGTGCACCAGTTTCGGTAGGGTTATGCCTGTAATTTGAAGAGTTTTAATCGTACTTAGCAGAGAAACGCAATGTTTGTCTCTGTGGGCTATCCCCGTAATAAAGGGCTGATGAATTTGCACGAAAGTACTTTCGTGCACTTTCGAGCACTGCACGAAACAGCCCTACTAACCATCAATCGTGTTGCGTCATTTGATGGATACTCATGACTTCGGGTATTGTGCACTCTCACTATCTCTGGGTTTGTGATCTAAACATCAATCGCTCAGCCTGGGTATTTGATGGATACAGTATGGCTTCGCATTGCTATTTTGCCTGCTCTCGCACTTTTCATTTTTGAATTCGCCCAGCAGACCAAACATCGGCCCCGGTAAGTTATCCATGGCCGGGGTCATGGGTGTTTGGGTGAGTGGTGCCTAAAATTTACGTTATGTGGTTGTGTCTGCCGTCCAGTGATGCGCGGTATTGGATTTTGGCTGGGGTAAAACTTATCGCAGGGCTACGGTTACTGCAGGCACTGCACCACCTCTTCTACTCGTGCGTGTTACGATCGCTTCTCGGATCCACCGCGGCGTTGATTAGGCAGTGCCTAATAGGCACCAGTTGACCTGTAATGGCGTACCGACCCTGGTTCTGCCGACGGTCCATGGCAATACCTTCTGCCCCCAGGAGTGCCCGAGTTGTTTGTTAGCTTCCTCGTCGCGGACTGCAACCACGCGGATTATGAAAGGAGAGCTAAAGAGGCTAGCAGCGCGGACAATTTCAAGTGCAAATGGAGCAGCTACGAGATCGGAACGTAATATTGCTAGTGCACCGACTCGATCACCATTTTTCCTCGTTAATTGTTCTAGTACCTGTGAAAAGCTGAAATTTCAGAGCTTCTTCGGGCCGGTTGTTTTTTTAATGGAACCTACAGTACGAACGCACATCGAATGCCAGTTCAGTCTAGCCGCATTGTACGAGCTCTGCCCAAGAAAGATCACCGGGATTAACCCATCGAAGTAGTTTGAGACCAAGTGAGTACTCGTTGTGGGTGCCAACAACCTCCACAGGTAGCAGTAGAATCTGTTGTGGCCGCAAGGTCGACTGGTAGTACGCTAACTTGGCCCGGTGATCTTTTCCATACACGGTTCGCAGATAGACCAGCGGGTCACTCATGAGCACAACGTTCATAAATGCCACGTTGGCCTCCACAACGTCTGAGCGCCCATGAAGGCAATTCATCTGGTGCTGGATGTACCTGAACGTGCCCACGCTCATTACGATGGACACGGAATTATTGCGAGCTTGCTGGGATGGAACTTGCACTGGGAAGGCGGAAGTTAGAGGAAGAACTTGTCGTTTGCTCTGCCCAAGATTCTTGGCCACTGTTAACTTTTGAGAAGATAGCAGGTCTCTTGGATGCAGAAGAAATCACTCGTCCAGTGCACGCACATGCTTACGCTGGGCCACAAGATCCCCGCCGAGTACGGGACTGGCGTTGGGGCGATAGAATACCATTGAAGATCGTTATGTCGACTTTTGCCTCGCTTATTAGACCAGTAGTGCAACCAGATCGAGCGTGCCGCTCGGACAGCGGCAACTGCGAGCACCAGACAAGTGAGAAACTTCAGGTCGATGATCACTCCACCGAGAAAAGTGTTACCTCTCCCACCATACCCGAAGCTGTAGCGATACTTGGCCAGCTCCCACGCGGGGCTCACGTTGTCGGGGAGCACCATCACTTCCAGAATTTTCGTCGAGCGAAAAGATGTCGAGCGATACTGAGCGATCAAAGTCAGGCTTGAAAATGCACTTAGAAAGAACTCTGGTACACCAAGGATGCCATTATTTTGGCGATTATTGCGAATTATCCAACGCGAAGTCGAGACGCTCACAATGAGATGCCAGCCCAACGTGTAAAGCCAAACGTTGCGCATCTGGACAATTGCGTAGGAAATGCACTCCCTGAAACTGAAATTGAAAATCCCACCGGCCGAGAAGAACCGACTCTCCAATATTTGGTACGTGAACGGAGCATCCAACACGTGAGCGAGAACGTAGCAGGCCACGGGGAACGGGCTGCCGTAGACCACGCACTGCGTTGGGACATTCATGAACAGGCTTGTCGCCTTTCGTAAGCGCGACCACCCTGACAGTCCTGGGCGTGACGTTGGCGTACTGTAGGCGTAGTAGCAACTGAGGATCAACCCGATAACGCGAATGAAGAAGTAGCTCTGCCCGATAATTCGGAGTGCTGCGACTACTCGATACCACTGAACAATGTCGGAAACCAGCAATCCAGTCTCGTAGCGGTAATCATCAACGTAGAGAGTCTCGCACACATTATCCGCGCCATCGCCGGTGCAATTGCGGGCCCGGATGATAGTGCTCACGTCCCCCCATAGAAATCCAAGCGATGAAAATCCCCCCTTTGATACTTGCAAATCACCGTGGCTTTCCAAAAGTGTGAGGTCAATCGAAAGACTGGGGAAACGTTCTTGTACCGTACGGAAGCGCTCCATTATGTTCACATGAAGTACTCCAACAGCTCTACCCTCCACATCATTAGCAGCGCAGGATCGACAGTAATTAATCTAAAGCTGCTGGCAGAACCGTGGTATTCGTGCGCGTCTGCCTCTAGCGGGGTAACAAATTGTCTGAGCGCTCGCATTCGCCAGCAGTGCTGGAGAGTAATAAAGTGGCTGGTTCGTTCTCCAGTTGACGTCGTAAAACCATTGTGGGAGCAGAAATTGGTGAAAGCGGTCGACATAGTCGTTTTTCGGCCGTAGAACCATTATTATAGGTTCAGACTGAGGTGATACTTTCGCTTGTGCGCGCTTATTCGAGAATACCAATGCGTTCACCAGAGAGTCGATCATTTCGAACACCACCTCGCCGCATAATGACTCGGTAGGACATTTTTCGCGGTAGAGGATGCAGTCTGGGAAGTCTGGCAGCGCAAAATATCTTGCAAATGCTCGCCAGCCGATAGAAGTCGTGTCAAACTTGTAGTTCCATACACGGGCGGCTGTGTTTCAATTTGTAGTCTCCGTCTTCGTTGAGCTAAACACTGAGTTGTTCCATGATGTTCCAAAAGTGATGACTTCGTCGGGCTGTAGTGCGGGGTAAAAGCCCTGCATGTTTGATACGCTTAATCCCGACCGAAAAATGTCCGAGGACACCAACACAAGAGAGACAAGACCGAGGAAGAACCGTGGCCAGGAGAATGGGAGATGCTGCTCAAAAATTTGATCTCGGACAGTGAGTCTTCGCGCAAGAATTCTCTGGATTAATTCGGTAGGCGTCGTTGGCTCCGCTAAGCTCAGCGCATTGGTCTTGGTGTAGCGCGTGGCCCACTTCGTGAAAACATCAAGCGCTCGATCACGGTCGGCCACAGTCAAAGAATGGACTAGACAGGTGGAGCTCGTTATCTTGAGACGAAAGTAACAGCCGACCACAAATAAGTCACATGATCGCGTTATTTTGTCTTAACAGCGCAAAAATCTTTATGCTTTCTTAAAATGAAATCTTCTCGCCCGTCCCTGTTGGTATCCTATTCTCTAGCCTCGGTTATTCAATGCATCGCCTCCTATGAATTTATCTGCAAAAGGTGTCGCTAGATTATTTGTTGCTTAGCCACATTGCACGAGCTCGGACCATGAGAGCTCGGATGGGTGGACTCGACGAAGCAGCTTCAGTCCGCTGGTGTACGGATTGAGGCTGCTAACCACCACTTCAGGCAGCAGCAGAATCTGACGTGACCGCCACACGGACTGATAGTATGCCAGCTTCGTCAAGCGATCGCACCCGAGCATCATACTCAAGTACACGTACGGGTCGCTCATCAGAACAGCGTTGATGAACGCCACGTTGGCCTCGACGTCGTCCGACCGCCAGTGTAGACACTTGAGACGGTGTTGGATGCACCGGTACGGATTGATATGTCTGCGTGTGAGTCGCAAGTGTATCTCTTTCTGGAGGTACCTGGAGTGTCTAGCACTTAGCGAAGCAATCACGCGTGCACTTTGGTTCGGCTTCCACCATATCAGCCTTGACTTGAAGGGGCAGCGGTGGATATACGGTTTCCTCTCCACCATTTTAGGCACTAGCGGTCCCCGATGTCGCGCATCTCGAATGCAGTAGTAGTCGGTCGGCCATTGAACGCACACACTCACAGTCGGCCATAGAATCCCCGCCGAGTATGGCACTGGGGTCGGAGGTAGGACAGCCCAATGCCAATGTCTCTGCTTCCAGTCCCAATAGTGCGACCACATCTCGTGCACTGCCCATATCGCCGCAAGCAGGAACAGTAAGCAGATCAGAAACTTGAGATCGATCAGCACTCCACCTAGTAACACGCTGCCTTGGCCTCGTCGAGCAAAGTTGTATTGGTACTTGGCCGCCTCCCACCCGCTTCCAACATTATCGGGGAGCACCGTTGATCTCAATATCTTCGACGATCGGAAGGAAGTCGATCGGTACTCGGCCATCAGGGTGACGCTTGAGAACCCGCTCAGTAAGAACTCCGGAACTCCCAGCACTCCGATGTGCATTTGGTTTGTACGGATGATGTCACGCAAAGCCGAAACGTACACCACGAAGTGCCAAACCAATGCATAGACCCACACGGAACGCATCTGGACGACTGCGTAAGACACAAATGCCCTAGGCTCGATGCTTAAAACTCCGGCCTGAGAGAAGAAGTGACTCTCTAAAACGTTGTAAGTGAAGGGAGCGTCGAGTAAGTGGACGACCACGTAGCAAGTCACTGGAATCGAGCTCCCGTACACAACGCACTGAGTCGGCGCCTTCATAAACAACACTCGCGCCTTTCGTAGCTGCGTCCGGATCGACATTCTCTCATTCAAAGCCCCAAAGACAAACAAGCAACTAAGCATCAAGCCAACCCCACGAAGCCAGAAGTAGCTCTGTCCGAAACCTCGTAGCGCTGCGATTAGTTTGTACCATTGAATGACGTCCGATACTAGCATCCCTGTTTCGTAGCGATAGTCCTCGACGAATACAGTCTCGCAAGTCTTGGCGTTAGATGAATCGATACAATCTCGCGCTCGAATAGTTGTACTAACGTCAGATCGGCGGAATACAGTCGAGGTTAGCCCCCCTAGACTGACCTGCAAGTCCTCTTGGCTCTCTAGAAATGTAAGATCCACTGTTGCGTTGGGAAACCGAGCCTGAATACCTCGAAGACGTTCCATCGTGTGCACATACAGCAGTCCGGCAGCTCTCGAGGTGGTGTCAGCCGGAGCACACGATCGATCCAGGTTGGTCCACAGCTCGTGGCAAAGGCGCGGCACTTTAACACGACCCCCATTGGCAGGGAAGCAAATACTACGAGCGTTTGACTTTGAGAGCAACTCCGGTGAGTAATAAAGCGCTTGGTTTGTCCTCCAATTGAAGTTTGTAAACCACTTCGGAAGTAGGAATTGGTGAAGCCGGTCAATATATTCATTCTCTGTCCGCAGAGTAAGCCCCACGGGTCCAAAATTATTCACCGATCGAGAGTTATTTAGCCCGGCGATAGCGTTCACGATACTGTCGATCATTCTAAACGCAACGTCACCATCAAAAGCCTCGCCGGCACACTGAGAATTGTACAACAAACAGTCGGGATATTCTGAAACTTCAAAGTGGTTGGCGAAAGCGCGCCAAACGATCGACGTAGAATCAAACTTGTACGTCCAGACTGCTGCGTCTACCTTTCCACTGTACCCATCCTCTTTGGTTACCGCGAAGACGGAATAATTCCACGATGTCCCGAATCCCAGCACTTCGTCTGGGTGTAGTGAAGGGTAATATTTCTCTAGGTTCGATACCCCAAGGCCACCACGAAAAATATCTGAGAATACCAAAACCAGCGACACAAGACTAACAAGAAAGCGCAACCAGGAGAACGGGAGTCCTCGCTTGAACACTTTACTGCGTGCGATAAGCTGTCGGGTCTGGGTTTCTCGGATTAGAACCTCTGCAGAAGTGTGCGTCTCCCGAAAATTCCTTCTGCCCAAGTGGTGGGACGTCCACCTCGAAAGAACAGCGAGTGCCCAGGCGCCGTCGCTGCCTCCAGCCGTGAATGCCACCTGGATGCGGGCCATGTTATCCCCACGTGATCGGTCTACTAATACCGCTATAGACCGGAGAAATATTAGCCTGGGGCTAACTAATGCCACTTTAGACTGGAGTGGCTAATTCCGTCCATTATTGCAGTATCGCAACTGTGGAGGTATTTTGAGGCTGCTGCAGGTTTCTCTGTCGGCTTGATAGGCCCATGGGCCTCTGTTTCGATGCTGTCGGCCTGTTGCGGCGACTAAAGACCCCCAAGTACCATCAACAGCCCCAAGTAGAACCATTTGAAGCATTAAATATGCGCATTTACTGCCGACACACGGCCGTCATTGGCCGCAGATCGAGATCGACCACGACCCCTTCCGCTCCTGGGTCGGGTTTGCGGTACATCGCTCGAGACTCTTGCATGACCTGGCCCTCATTGATCCCCAAGACGTCCTGCTCCTCAACACCGCAATAGTAGACACTGCGCTTCTCGGCGTCCACTTGAGCTTGACTCGCTGAGAACAGCACGGCCTGTCCAAACTGCTCCGTCACCTTGTGCACCTTCCCAAAGCGGCCGCTAGCTGCGTGGACATCGGCCGCTGGCGCCTTTCTTAAAGATCCAGAGAACAGGTGCATGTCGTCCAAGTAAATATCCACATCTTTCACGCCGCGCTCAGGCGTCTTGCTGTAGTTCCAGAACTTGATCATCGACAGCACCACTGGCGTATCGAATCCAATGTACACGATGTTGCCTTGTTGGTTCCCTAGAGAACTTGCCAGAGAGGCCAGCCACGCGTCATGCGCCTCCCACGTGTTCTTGTCGCGACCGCTTAATAAATTATCAGGAATTCGCGTGTCTTGCTGCCGTCCACTTGAATTGTCCAACTCCGAGACTGAGTACGGCACTGCGGTAACAATCGGCGGCTTATCGAGTATCCGAGCGCCAGCAAAATCGTACAACTCGAGTCCATTTAGGCCGAGGTAGTACGGATCTCCCCATGTCGTCCAGCAAATGATCTTGAGAAAGAAGCCTTGAGGATACAGAGGCGCTTCGTAGTCTTGCCGAACGATTGGCGTCTTGTACGCTCGAGCGTTGAATGGATAATGGACGCGCTCCGAGTAGGTCGGAAGTTTATCCTCGGTCCCCGTGTCTTCTGAAAATCTCACAAGTTGTCCAAAGTCAAAGTCCGCGACGCCTGGCGCTTTACGCAGCAAGAAGCCGGTCTCCCTAGGGGAAATCACAACGCCATCTAACGCCACGACAAGCTGCTTGACACCGCGGTAGGTATCCTCTGGAGACTTGTTGTAGTTCCAGATGCGCAGACCGTAGAAGTACTGAGCCGTCTTGAGCTCGATCCGCACTTCGGGGGCAGCTCCAGATTCCAGCGGGACGAGCCACATGTGCGTGTCATCGCAAGTTGTAGCTTCGCCATCCATTAACTACATCAAATAATACAACGCAAATGTTATCATCAAACTTCTCCGTGAGATTCGACTGTGTGCAAAGCTTACCTTGTCAATTGTGCGTGGATCGCCAACGTATCCCAGCTACACATCAAGTAAAAGACACACATCACATTGGCTCCCAGAACTATGAGACCAGCCGTAAAACTGATCGTACCGATGCTAAATCGCGTGGTGTAGCGTCGACATTCGAAGTGTCTAGAGGGATCGGAGTGCCTCGTGACCCGACGAGCACGTCAACTTGCGTTAGCCCGATGTAATTCCTATCGCCCCATGTACTGTGAAGCTGCAGCGTGAGGCGCCTACCACGCGGCAGGTTTTCGTCCAAACCCACCTCACCACTGCTACTTCCACCTCCAACGCCTTCACTTGTTTTCATTGCATCTGGTGATCGCTGTTGAGGTTCCTCACTGATCACCCAGGAATCAATCGAAGTCCTCAACGTCGTATCTCGACTTGCGAGGGAACGCGTTGCCGTCGTCATAGGTCGTCCGTCGTTGCCTACGCGTAGCTGGTGACTGTCATCCCTGTCGCTTTCCTGGTTCTGTTCGACTGTGCGAGAGCCAGCATCGGACGTACGAGGGCGTTGCAGCTCCATCGATCGATGCACGGACGCCACAATCTCTCGAGTCTCTTCATCTTCCCGCTGTTGCTCTCCAGCCAGAGTCCGTAAAGCCTCATCATTCGCCTCAATAGCCTCCAGAATTGCTGTTTCCTGAGTGAAAAGTATCACCTCGTTGGAGATCTCCATACTGTCAGCTCCTACCAAGCCAGGAGCTTGCCGTATCTCGCCTTCAAAGATTATTTTTCCAGACTCAGCTAACTTGCTCTCACTCCCTGACATCAACGAGGTTGGGACGGATTCGTAAAGAATGAGGCGAGCCTCACGCACTCCGCGGCACGTGTGCGTGCGCGACTTGTTGTAGTTCCAGATCCGTACCATCGATATTGAGACTGAGGCGTTCATCTCCAGGAGGGCGTAGTGCGCCTGGCCTGGTGTGAAAGGTGCCAGCCACATGTGGAAGTCGTCGCATGTAAAGTTGACCCCATCCACGAGATTCTTGGGGACGCGTGGGTCGTCACTGTTCTCTTCCAGCACGTTAATGCTCTCAGGACAGGCAGTCACCTGCCGTACGGGATCGTGGAATTTCACCAACTCGCCGCGTTGATCGAAAATCTCCACCCCATTGAGCCCGACGTAGTAGGGATCACCCCACGTACTCAGAATCTCAATCTGCAGCCACTTGCCACTCGGGAGCACAGGAATATCCGCTATCATCCCAGCGCTGGTGTAATCCACGTCGCTGGCGATAAATTGTGTGGTATCAACAAAGCTTGGTTGAGACGGCGAGCTCTTCAAAATGTCTGGATATGAAGTCGATCTAGTAGAAAAGTTGGTCGCCATTGATCCTTGTCGTAATTCCGCTAGTAGTGCGGAGGTTGTAAACGACGTACGGGCTGTTGAGGTCTTAGGTTTCGCTTCAAACGAGTCAAAACCACTGTCCATTCCAAGTGAGGGTGCCTCTACAACGTCGGTAGGCTGAGCAAGCCGACTTCGGTTCGTCTTGCTGAACTTCTCGAGGCTGTCCCAGGACGAGAGGGAAGCCAGTGAAGGTGCCACCCCGTTTTGTTCGTATCGGGGTTTCGTATCACTGCCGAGGCTTGAATGCAGCTTTGCCTCAGCTCGACCTGTGTGGAATTCGCTCGTGTTCGTGTCTTTCGCTGTATCCGCAGTGCGATCGACGCCGTAGACCGGTTTCCCTTGCCTCCGTCGGCTAGTCACGTTGCCGGAGGAAGGCTTCTCGTCTGCCATCCACGTATCAAGGTTGCTTGTAGACCGGCTCGTCACCGCTGAGCGATCTAATGTGGAGGGGGAGGAGGTACTTGATCCCGAAAGCCACATCGGAGTGCTATCACTTGGTTTCTTAGTAGGTATTCTCTCCGGCTCTGCTTCTGATCGCTGCTGTGATCGGATTGTCTGAGCCCACTGCGACGATTCCTTCACGTCACTTCGATCTGCTGCTGGAGCAGAGCTGTTCTCAAGACGAGCAGTACGCGACGTCTTCCGAGCGGTACCAAGTAAATCAATCCACGTGCACGTGCTGTCGTCTGGGTCTCCAAAGGTTTCAGGCAACGAGCCCGTCCACACGCATTTGCCACTGACCAAAACTTCGATGTCGCGTGTGCACGCAGTATGGGTTCTCTACAGAAATGTCAATGATGTTCCAGTTAGATTGAAAAATAAAACAAAATACCAGAGGCGAGGTGGGGTATAAACTACGCACGCTGTTGTGGTTCCAGATGCAGAGTTTGCTTGGAGCTGACGATACTTCGAATCTAACAAGAAGCACGCCTGCAACACACATTCATCAGAATCTATAGCACAGCGGCACCGGCACAAAGTTTAATTTCCAATACCTGAGTCCCCCAAACGCCCCAGCCACATGTCCTTCTCAGCATTCGTCTGAGCCACTCCATTGAAAAGTTTCTGCAAGCCGCGCACCATATCGTTCGTTCTGGGTAGCGATTTCCCAGTAGGCTGATCGAAAAGTTGTACGGATTCCACATCAACCGGTAGCTCTTCGCCGTTCAGATCATACACGCAGATCTGAGTGAGCCCCACAACGCGCGTTTTACTCCACGTCGACAACAACTTCACGTGAATCTCAAATTGTGATGAACCAACAGCAGAACTTGCGCCCAAACTGAATCCAAGATTGAGCTTTGGGACAATGGGAGCGGGATCCTGCTGAGCTTTCGAGCCTTGTAGATCCACGTCAACCTTTTCTTCGATTGGCATCGCCTGAGGCGTGCTCTTAGCCTCAGCAGCGTACAGTCCTTCGTCCGCTGAGAAAGCTTCTCGAGCTTCTTTGTGCTTCTTCTTGGTTTTCAATTTGGCCTCCACCTTCGCTGACGGGATGGCCTTATCAGGTTTGGCGCCCCTCCCTTTATTCGATGCTGCAACCGGTCCATGATCACTGAGCGCGACCTCTTCCTGGAGCGCTCGCAGCTTGGCGAGGCGCTCCTGCCGCTTGACCTCCATCAGTCGTTCAATCTCCCGCTCTTCGTCCTCTAGCTGCTTCATCATCTTGGCTCGCCGCTCCTCGGCCTCCTTCAGAATTCGCTGCTTCTCCTCTCGCTCCCGTTCAAGGCGCTCTTTCATCTCGTTGGCGTACTCGTCCTCCCATCGGAGCTGCTCTTCCAGCAAATTCTTCAACGGCGCCACAGTCGGAACCTCGTCGACTGACTGTTCTACTGCCGTTGTCTTTGCGTCTGTAGGTGCAGACGTGGACGGATTCAACGTCGACGTGATCTCCTTCCAGATAGCAGGATCGCCAATCGAACTCTGCAGCACCTTCACATCGTCCGCATCTTGCTCACTCGCCTGGAACTTGCGAAGCACATCAACCAACGCTCGCTGCTTCGTTCGAGAAAGATGTTGGATGATCCTCACCAGCTCCTTCGTCGTCTTCGATAGGTCCACAGGACTTGAGCTGCTCTGCTCTGCTGCCGTTGGCTTCACATCATCTTCAGCCTCTACGTCTTCCTCAATGTCGTCAATCACCAGCTCTTCTCTCTTTTGCCGTCGGTCTCTCTCCCTCTCGTCGTCGTCCTCCTCGAACTCCTCGAACGACTCCTCCAAGTAGCTCTCCTCTTCATCCTCCTCCTCCTCTTCTCCATCTTTCTCCTCGACCTCCTTCTGTGTCGTCAGCCGGAACAGCGGCACTCCGTCCTGATGCTCCACCGCGACGCCCATCGGAGCTTGAGGGCGGCTCCACTTCGCTCGTCGCACCGGCCCCTTCTCCTCGTCCGCCGCCGAGCCAAAGTTCAGCGTCGTGGACGGCGCCGACCTGCACTTGGAGAGGGGGTTGGCCTCCTCCCGCTTGGACGAGAACTTGGTGGGCAGCACCGACGTGGTGGATCTCGTGCTGCGTGAGGACGTCGAAGGGATTTGAGCTGTGCCCGCGGCTCTCGCGGGCACGTTGAAGGCCGTGACGAAGGCCTCCTCGCGCTCCTGCAGCCGGTCGTTGCGCTTCGAGGCGGCGGCCAGGCGCTTCTTGACGCGGTTGCGCTCCTCCAGCACCTTGATGTACTGCAGCTGCCGCGTGAGCACGGGGTCCGCCTTCGCCTCGGCGGCGGAGCTGCTGTCGCCTCGGGACAGATGCAAGTCCTGCTGCTGCTGCTGCTGCTTGTCCCAGCGCTTCCTCTCCGCCATCCTCGCTCGATCAAGATCGCTTGAGGCTCTAGGGTGGTCGTGATACGACTCGACTCGACTCGACTCGACAGTACCGAAGTCTAACCGTCACAAGTCGCCAACGTCTTTTCGACGCAGGATTTGGTCAAGAAGACAGAGCAGGGCCACGATGCTGATCGAGGTCACGCATTGTGCTGAGACGGGAGGGTGCAAGCATGCATTCGGGCATGGTCTACATGCATTCTGCAGCACTGCAACGTCGTCACTGGGCACGCGCCTTCATTGGACCTCCCGGTTCAACCAGTGGGCTCGTGCGGGGCATCTCGCCATTCGCGAATTTGCCGCGTTCGAGTCGCATCTTTTCATCCCTGCAGTCGACTGTGACTGACACGAGTTCCAAGCACGATGAAGTTCCTCAAGTCGCTGTTCCGCAAGACCCCTCGCGAGATCTCCGACCAAGCGAGTGAGCGCGCTACTGCCGCGACGGCTGGCACGCTGCCTCCGATCGACTTGGCCCGGACGACCCGCCCCATCAGAAGCGAAGGCCACGGGGACAAGAAGCCCCGAGTGGGGAAGCTCACGCTCTACATGCTGCTCTCGGGCATGTAAGGCTCAAGCAAGGACGGCCGGCCCCGATAAGTACAACCGAATTGACGTCGCGTAATTAACTTCAGCAATACATTCGCTTATTGTGAACATGTTGGTCTTGATGGTTCATTGCAAGCTTCTGATGCTCAGTTTGCTGTCTCTGGTGGCACCTTGCGCTCGCGTCTGCAGGGAATCGTTGAAAACAAGGTCCAGCAGCCACAAGCGAACAAGATCATTGACTGAGGTGTGAACGCTTCCTGTACCAACGAAACAGTGACCATAGGCTAACGGTGAGATGACGTTATGCCCGCCACGATTGAGTTGTATCCAGGTGGCAAATGGCTCGAACTCCTCTGCAGCTTCACTTATTCAACTTGAGAAACGCGAGGGGAATCAACACATCGTCGGCTGCGATGATGCGTGCAGCACCAGTGTCCTGATTCACGCGAATCGGATTGCCCAGCAGCTAATTTGCGTCAAGCTTCACACACCCAAATCCCCTTCCGTCTTGCAGATGAGCGCGCCGCAGAAGACCCTCAAGCCCTGGTGGGGAGACGGACCCCGCCCCACGCGCGAGCAGATGGATCGCCACGCTGACGAAGCGTAAGAGTGTTGCTTTGGGTGTCTTTAGGATAATTGAGTTCTGGTATCAACGATGGTTATAGGTCCGCCAAGTGTGAAGGAGCACGCAGAGCGTGGCAATCCTGCGTCGGTTGTCGCCTGCATCGACGAGTTCGCGTCCAGTACCCACATGGTGAATGTCGGTGGCGTCAAGGGCAAGATCATCGACGAGGAGATCGTTAAGAAGCAGCCTGAGGTCATGGCGGAACTCGGAGGGAACACGGGCTACAGCTCTGTGTGATTCGCGAGCAAGCAGCGCGAGGCCGCGGGCAACAAACGCTCGCACTACCACTCGATCGAGTTCTCGCCTGTGTTCGCAGCTCGTGTGCGCGAGATGGTGGAGCTCGCGGGGCTGTCGGACCACGTGACAGTGCATGTTGGACCGTTCTCCAAGAACTACGAGGTTCTCCGCGGCCAGGCTGTCGACGTGAGTGCGTTGTGAGTTGACTGTTATCACTGGTTTGCTCTAACGCGCGATGCTTGTGTGCAGGTGTACTTCATTGACCACGACAAGAAGGCGTACTTACAAGACTCGAAGCTCATCATCGGGAGCGAGACGCTGGTCCCAGGATCTGTCGTTATCGCTGACAATGTCGGGCTGGGTCCTGTCCCGGGAGGCAAGAACGAGTACATCGAGTTCGTCGAAGAGAGCCCGAAAGTTCTCGGAAGTGCGCCACACCGTCTACATGAAGCGCGAAGACATGATGATGCCAGACCTTTCGGTCGCGACGTTCCTCGGATAACGTGCTGGATCCTGAGCACTTGCTAATAGCAAGTTGCTATCTTCCAAATGATGTGGCAGCGAAGCAGTGGGTTGTTACTTTCAATTCGCAACCCCACGCTGCAAACAAGAGCCGTGGTTTTTGGAACACTTTCGATCGAGATCATACTCAACAAGAATTTTCATCTTCGAAACTACAGAAGTACATCAGCCGTGCCAAGTTAGCGCGGCAGTGCATCAATTTTGTAGCTGCAGAAATCCTTTCAGCCGCGGAAAGTAGCAATCGACAGGTCCGGCAGCAGCTTGCGGTCGCGCCCACAGTGAATCGTGTGGCGCACCGCAGAAAACTGCGGGTTGTTCTCGATGAACTCCAGATAGTCCGGGGCACCCGGTCTCACGACGTTGTCTGCAGCGATGACAGATCCCGGCGCCAACGTTCCGCTGCCGAGGATCAGCTTCAGGTCCGACAAGTACACGGTCTTCTCGTGGTCAATGAAGTAGAGCTGCCAGCATTAATAACGTACCACCAGGTCAGAACAGACAAACGAAGGACTAATCTCCCCCACAAGCAGCCACTTACATCGACGGTCTTGCCTCGAAGCGCCTCGTACTGCTCCGAGAATGCGCCCACATACACCGTCACCTGGTTCGTCAAACCCGCGAGCTCCACCATTTCACGCACGCGAGCCGCAAACACCGGCGAGTACTCGAACGAGTAGTAGTGCGAGTCCTTGCCCGCAACTTCGCGTTGCACGCTGGCAAAGCGCACGGTGCTGTAGCCCGTGTAAGCCCCCAGCTCCGCCATAACAGCGGGCTTCTTCTTGCGGATCTCCTCGTCGATGACAGCGCCCTTCACTTCCCCGATGTTCATCATGTGGTGCGTGGTCGTGAACTCGTCGATCGTGGCAATGACGGACGCCGGGTTGCCGCGCTCCGCGTGCTGCTTCACGTACTCCAGACACTTGGCAGAACTGTGACGCATATCACATCAGATAACCCGTGAGTGAGCAAGATGACGTCAACCCTTCACCAACCAGAGCGTGGGAAACTCACTTTTCGTCCGTCCAGCGGTTGGTCGGCATGCGGCCGAGTCCCCATGGATCGACCGGCTTCAGTGATGAGCTCATCTTGCAAGGCTGGTGAGTTGTGGTTGCTCCGGCGCAAATTGGTGAATGAGGCTCGAATAGCGCGTGGCCTGGTCCGGTCCCGAAGTCCGACGACAGGCAAATCCGAGGGGAGTGCCTTGCAGTGCGGAACGCATCATCAAAATCACAAAGAGATTATGGTACAGTATGCACGTCTTCAGCGGAATGATGGTTGTCAAAGTATCCACTGCCCTGCTGGATTGAATCCCTGGACAAACTAGGATATAGCGCTGGTTGACGTCATTGTGTTTGTATTTTTCTCCTGGGGTGATGCCGCCTATCAAGTGGACCTAGTGAGCACGTACAAGTACTGGTCGACCAGTAAGTCTGCGTTGAACACGTGAGGGGAGGCTAGCGTGTCCACGTGCTTTGCGTCGAATCCGTACAGTTGCTTCGCCTTAGTGAAGAACGACAAGTCATTTTTCTCGTGGCCTGGCACATGGTGCGCGAAGCTCACGAATACCTGATGCATGAACATCACACCGCAACAACCAACCGACCACAGAGTTAAAAGTGATAGCGATGACTGGGGAGGAAAAATCGCCTTACCTTCCCATCAGACGCCAGGCATGAGTCGATGGACTTGAGTAAATCTTCGTGCTGGGTAGTAAAAAACAGAGAAGTCATAAACCCCATTAGCTACTGTACCACACAGAGACACACACGCCAACCATTCCGAAAACTTACCAAGTGGTGAAGCCATAGACACTCGGCAACGACAGCCACATCGAATCGACTCTTCGGTGAGTTGTTGCCGCCATCATCAGCACTTTAAACACCACTGGGTCGTCACACTCCTTTCCAGCCGAATCAACAAGGTCTGACGCTGGCTCTGTTGCATCTAGGCAGCTCAGCAGCCCTATCGTATCGCTGCCCCACAAGTGGCCTCGCACTTCGCGTCTCCCGCTGCCCAGCAGGTGCTCATTGCGCTTGATGTTTGCCCTAATATTCTTCAGCAGTAGGTCGTTCGGGTAGTCTACAGTATCACATCCCAGTCAGCTGTGCGTCCGTCACCAGAATCCGAGCCAGACGCACCCGTCATTACTGCCACCTCCGCTCCAAAATGCAGTGCCACCAGCGACGGCAGCGCTCTACAACACTCAATCCCCCGCACAGTTAACCGTCAGCACTCGTTCCCCCCTATTCTCCTCTTCGATACTCACGATGCCGCGCCGAACTCCACGACACTCCGTCCCTTCACGAGCTCTGGGTGCTTGGCGATGTGCATGGCGATGAACCTCTAGAATACACAATAATCACAATAATGCAAATGAGTTAGAAAGACTGAAGTTGCATCAAAGTCCCCCAGCTAAAGCTTTGAAGTTGACACGCACGGCTCCGTTCCAGACGGCGCAGGCGAAGAGCGAGCCGGGGATTCCGCCGTCGTCGTCGGCCACGGAGATGCGGAAGTGCGGCGCCGACGGGCCGACGTCCAGCTCCTGCACGAAGTCCTCGGGGTCGTACCCGTTGTCCTCCCCGTTCTGCAGGAAGAGCGCCCCCACCACGTTGTCTTCGTCCATTTTGGTCAATGAAGCGACAACTATAGTGTACCATGTTTATGGTACATCCACTGCTTCATTTTTTTGCTGTGGAAGATTGAAAAAGGGGACAATCTTCAAATTTAGTCGGTTGCGCTAACGCGACCTTGTATTGTGGCTTTCATCCGTTTCGGCAAGTTGGGTGGGGTGGTCCGAGATCTGATATATCGGGTGAAGAGCTCCGATTTAGCAGGAGGGGCTGAGGGAAGCAAACTATATCTGGCCCGATTTGCGTCTGGGGGCTGCGAGTTGCGAAGCAGGGCCCAGAAATGCCGCTTTTCGCCGGCAAAAGGGACTGCCGCGAAAACGTCTGGGGCCCTCTCAGATCGGCGTGGCACGACGGTCGTAGATGATCACGCGGGTGATTTAGCTGGCCATAGTGCTATCAAGTGGCTATATACAGTGTACTATTGTCCCCAATGTCTTGCAGTTCTAATGCGTCATGTGAGGTGGGGAGGTATGGCCAGCCTCCCCTCTGAGCCTTATGCTATCAGATATAGCTAAATTGGACTAACCGATCATGAAGGAGCTCCATTTCATATAAATCGGACTCGGAGATAACACGTCAAATCGGCCAGCAAAATAGTTGAAAACTACAAATAGTACTCCGATTAAGTAATCTCGTCGTATTTTTATACAGCACTAAAAATTAGGTGTAACTATAAACGCACATGTGGCACCGAAATAATTCTGTAAGTTTTTGTGCACCTTTTTGAATACTGGATTCTGATTGGCGATAGTAGCCCTCTTTATTTCACACTATCTATATTTTTTTACATTTCAGAGCTGCATTTCCTTTCATGCGCCCACAAACATGCTAGACTGATTATACTGCAATCCCAACAGCTAATCTTTTAGAGTTTTGAAGTTACCGGACAAGTACGTTACAGTCAAACAAATATTTATAAAACACACTAATACTATTAGATATAGGGCTAGTATGAGCTTGACGGGTGCAGCCGTTTGGTGCACCCAAACAGTTGGTTTGACACACAAAAGTACAGATTTGACTGTTTTAAGATTCGTATTTAAAGTTTTATGTTCAATTTTAGTATATCCTCTCGTGTAGTATAATAAAGACTTTCGAACTTTGTTGTACATGAAGCCCTCTTGCCACAATGTAGTGGTTTCATTCAAAGCTGCCTAAATAGGCAGATTACTCGAAATAACTTTTTTTAAGCGACATAGCGCATTTTAAAATCCGACATGACCATATCTTAGGAAATGGTTTTCTCTCTGAATTTGTTTTTCTGGCCGCAAACCCTGATCTATGGGTCCTACAATAGCAATCCAATAAAATAAGAACACATATATACATTATCTGACAATGTTTACAGTTTCCACGAAGTACTGAAATATCTTTTGTGCGAAAGAACATTTAAACAATTGCAAGGGTTGACCGATAAGAGATGAACGAACGCAAGCTAAATAAGGTGCCCGCAATTGGTCTTTCCATTGGAACGAATGTAAATCTTACATATAAGTCAAACACAAACTCAAGCACCCCCGATGCCAAATCCAAAAGAAGACGGCACTGATGTTACGGCGGTAACATATCACAGGGGAATATGCAGCGCGCGCGAGGCAGCGGGGCGACGTCCCGAGGCGGGGCAGGTGGGCCATACTGGCTGCAAAAGCGGAGTATAGCTGGCGTCAACCTGTTCTCGAGGACACGCCTAACAGACGTGTTTAACGATGCTACCGGTTTCCACGCGAATCGGCAGACTCCACGATGCTTTTTAAATGAGTCGCCACCTTGTGTAAGTCCACGTTACTGAGTGTAGGTATCCCGTACCGGCAGTCGTCAGCATCCATCACCTCCATGAACAACAGCGCCTCAAAAATCACCGCGTACCCAATTTGATCGCTCTCTCCACAACATTGTAGTAGTTGAATGTACCGGCCAGAGTGTCATGTTCTGAAACGCTATTAGAACCGAAAATAGTGCACCAAATGTGCAAGGCCGTCTCGCGGTCGCCGCGTTCCATGGCCTCAGCAAGTCGAGGTGCCACCGTATCGACGTTGAGGAACGTGATGACTATGCTGCTTAAGGACAGCCTGGCCGAGTGGGTGGCGCGCCCAATGAATGTAAATATGCCCGAGGAAGAGATACCCGCGCTGGCGTTGGCGAAATTTGTTTTGTTTTTTTTTGGGGGGGGGGGGTGGTGGTCGCGGCGTCCGAGGTGGAGGGAGAGAACTTGCGGTCCGTCATGCTCTGGTCCTCCATTGTCCTCCTTCTTCTGTTGGTACCAGACTGAGGGGAGGTCAATCGGAGTACTTTGGGCAGGATACTGACATTGAGACGACGCGATACTTCATGAAGTTCGGGATGTAGGATTATTCGCTTGGTTTGATAACTAAAGTCGACGGTTGTACTACATCTCCGCATGCTCAAATGGATGAGTCTCCCGACATCGAAATTGGTTACGAGATTGGTTAACTTGATCTAGTAATGGCCTTGAGCCCATATATGTTATTAGCGTGCGGGCCATGGGTGCTTAAAGCACTTTACTGGGATAGAGATCGCGTGTAGCCCGCGCTCTGTAGTCGATCTTCGCCCTTCTCACGCAAGTATTTGGCGTATTAATGACGCTTGTACAATAATTTCAAAATCACCAAGATGTCTCCTTCATTCAAGTATAAAAATTAAAAGAACTGTTAGAATGGTTATCTTTAACAAATAGTCTTGATAAATATTAAAGCATAAAATGTAATTGACCATTGGACGCCGCCCAAAACCACCCTATTGGCCTATATGTCAAGTCCGGCGAGAGTTGATAGACCTAGCATATCCCCACCTCACATCTGGTGAGATCTCAATAAACTCGGCGGTACTTCAAGGTATGCGGCCTCTGATTTGGCAACTTTAGTAGTTTTAGCTTTGTTTTTGTATGAGCTTATCCAGAAGGTACCACCTCGACCCTCAACAAGCAACCTTCTTTAAATCCTGGCATATATCACGAACCTTCGACATGCAGTACCTGTGCAGCTTTGATTTTTAGAGATAAAATTAGAGATTGAGTATGACACCCCCGTAGGGTAGTTTTGGGCGGCGTCCATTAGTTCCATTAAGGCTGTTTTTGACTGGCATCTACTTAAGTCGGCTTAGGCTTCATACAGCATATGCTCAAAAGTGCTGAATTTGGAAATCGGATCTAGGCAAATATTCAATCAAGCTGGATAAGACTGTCTTTTGTATATGTCTTACAAGCCAAAAACCGGATGTACAAGTTGAACACGGTCTAAACGTCATACTACACCTTTTCAACGTCAAAATGGCAAATTGCTAGTTCAAAATGACAAAACGTAAGTTCAAACTGTCACGAATAGAGACAGGACCGTCTCACAATCTTATACGAGCACGATTGGCTGATACAGCTCACTGTCAGCCAATAGATATTCGACACTTTGTTTTTCTATATATCCCCATTACAAACAGGTCTAAGTATCGGTTTACAAAGGATTGTCGTTTTGATTTTATATTTTGACGTATTGAATTTTCTTTTTGCCATTTTGAAGTTGAAAAGGTGTATAATTATATCAGTGTTTTGCAATAAGGTTTCTTAAGATAGGAGTGCTAATGACGCCTGAACTAGCAGCAACCACAGCGTGAAAACGTACCAGAGCATGTTTTAGATGCTTCCGAGCGCACCATCAAAGTATGGGGTGGCTTGGGCCACTTGCGGATTTATTTTGATGAAACCAGCATAATTTGAAGTGACCTTCCAGTAAATAATGTGTTAAAACCTAAGTCCGTATGCGTTGTCGAATTAAGAATAACAATAAATTGCAATGCGCTGTCAAAATCTTGACTATGCTCACTGAAGGTACTGTAGAAGTCAATGAAGATGCCATTTCACTTTAGCCCACGTACGCGTTTTAGGACCATATCACCATCCTCTCAACTCAAACAGTTGCGAAACGTTTCAAAATACTTTCACAATAGTTTTTACTGGGATAGGAAGCAACGTTAGTGCTGCTTTCGCAGACCAAATAGGATTATATCCGTGGTACATCAAGTCAAACGATGACCCCCCTTGATATCCAACTGGTATATTTCTTGAAACCGGTACGACTCTGTTGCCGCACTGGGCCGTCCAAAAGGTTTATATGCGGGGGCAGACTGAACCAGAGGATACCCATCACACGGATATGACCCCGGTCTCGCACTGGGCCGGTTTATATGCGTGGGCAGATCGAACCGGTGTGCTACCGATGACACTGGTATGAATCAGTGCATATATTGAGCAGGGTACGGATGGACGAAGTGAAGTAAAGAGAACGCTTGGACTGTACAATAGCACTAGAGGTAAGCATTTGCATTTTCTAAAAGCTGCAAAACAGATCTAAACCAAGGTTCGCATTTTTAATTTTGTAAAGCATTGCCGGTTTATATCTTGCATCTACACTTTAAGAAAAACTCCGGACAGATGCAGGAGATGACCGGAGCAAGTAAGAAAAGTAATTAATAAAAAATAAAAATGGGATTCATACCAAAATCCTCCTATCCCAGCCGTAGCAAGTAAGAAAAATAATTAATAAAAAAATAATCAAGGGATTCATACCAAAATCCTCCTATCCGGAGCCCTAGTTTAAACTGTATTTAAAAAATATGTGAGTAGCTCACACTGATTTCCTTACTGTTTTTTTTCCTACAAAATTGGCACCACCAAAATATGGTACACTGTACCCTCAATCCAATAACACTGGCATTGCGCACCTTGCAGCCACCTGCAGCGCTGCTCGGCCTCAAGGGGAAGCTTCACGCCGCCGTATCTCCGCGCACAGGTCGCCTCTGACGCTCGCGCCTAGCCCACCTCCAAGCTCCGCGCGTGCTCTCTCCTCCCACCCTCCCCGCGCCGCCCAACTCCCGCTGCTCGCTCCGTGATCCATGGGGCAGCACTTTCTGTTCCACCGCGACCTGGTGGCGGCCACGGCCGTGCATCACGCGGTGCACGCGCGGCTCTCGAGCGACCTGCAGTCCGACCTGGTGCTGCTGGGGCCGCAGTGGCTGCGCGTCTACCGCGTGGAGCCGAGTCCGAGCGCCGAGACGTCGTCGTCCAAGGGCCAAGTGCTGCACCTGCTGGCGTCCTTCCCCCTGGCGGGCGTGGCCCAGAGCGTCCACGTGCTGCGCTTCGACCGCAGTCTGCTGAGGAAGAAGCACCGCTTCTTCGGAGGCGAGGAGGTGCTGCTGCTCACGTTCCCGCTCTTCAAGTGGGTCATCGTGGGCTACGACCGCCGCTCGCGCAGTCTGGCCACGCTCGCCATGTTCTCCTTCGAGGAGGACGCTATCGGCCCTGGAGCCACGCTCAAAGGAGAGATGAACGGCCGCGAGCAGCTGCTGGGCCTTGCGACCCACGCGGCCGCCAGAGTCGACCCGCAGACGAGATGCGGAGCCATGCTCGTGTACTCGGACCAGTTGGTGATCGTGCCCTTCCGCAGCGAGTCGATGGAGCTGTCGTTCTTCGAGGAAGACGAGGATGAGTTCGACGATGGAGACCAGGCTGGAGCCACGACGGCGGACTCGGACGATGAAGAGGATGACGAAGAGGAGAAGAAGCTCGAGGAGCTCGTGAACGAGAGCAAGCACAGAGGAGTGACGAGCGATATGAACAACACGCTCAACGCGCTGCTGGACAAGAGTGTCAAGGTGGGCTCGAAGAGGAAGAGGAACCACATGAGCGGACTCATGCCGAACGATATCACTGGACGCGAGTTCTTGCTGCGTCTGCGCGAGCTGGAGATCACGGGAAAGGTTATCGACTTGGCGTTTCTGGACGGATACTTGGAGCCGACGCTGATGGTGCTGCACGAGGAGAACGAGAAGAACTCGACGTGTGGACGTCTGGCGGCTGGATTCGACACGTACTGCATCACTGTCATCTCCATCAACATGAACACACGGTAAGCTCGA